CACAAAAGCTATCACCCTTCAATCACAATGATAGCCCCCCCCCACCAACAATCACCCTTCAACCACACGCCCTCCCCCACCACAAAAGCTATCACCCTTCAATCACAATGATAGCCCCCCCCACCAACTATCACCCTTCAACCACACGCCCTCCCCCACCACAAAAGCTATCACCCTACAATCACAATGATAGCCCCCCCCATCAACTATCACCCTTCAACCACACGCCCTCCCCCACCACAAAAGCTACCACACTTCAACCACAACGATAGCCCCCCCCCACCAACTATCACCCTTCAACCACAAGGAACCCCCTCCCCAAACTACCACCCCTTCAAACACAAGGCTATAGTTCGGCAAGGGTGGAAACTGGACTTTTAAAGTCAATTAACTCTCTTGCCTTGAGAAGGTGCCAATCTGTTGTCTTTGAACGCTCCTTGAACAGAATAACAAAAGCTGGTCATTCAATGACAGTTTACTGGGCATGACAACAACTGTGGAATACCACCACCATCATGACATGAGTGAAAGATGTGCATGGCTCCCAGTGTACAATCCAACCTAATTATCCATGATGACAAGTAATAATCATGATAATAACAAAAACAAAGTCATGACAATTATATGGCACTTCAAGACACCCCAACAACCGATCCAATAGCATAGTTAACCATAGTATGTGCAGGTGCCTCTGTGTGTTGTGTTGTGGTGTGGTGTGGGTGTGGTGTGTTGTAGTGTGGTGTGGTTGTGGTGGTGTGTTGCGTGTGGTGTGTTGTAGTGTGTGTGGCGGTGTGCAGTTGTGTGTCTGCTTGTGTGTGTATGAAGCAGAGTAACAACAAGTACCATCTTTTAACATCTTTTGGTTTGACTAGGCCAGGGATCAAACCTACGACCTTCCACTCTCCGGGCTCACACTCTATCCACTTCACCGCAGAGGCACAACCCCACTACTTCGTTGATATGTGTGTATATTCTTGTGTAGAATTATTCCACAGTTCGGGAGTTTGGCGCCAAAGAAAACAGCATCAGAGGGATGTAAGTAAAACATTTTTAAAAAATCCTAACATGTGAAAGGCACCACTTCACCCCTAATCTGATATGTGTGCAAAAGTATGTGTAGACATACAGTACCGATATGAAGAATGTTTTCAAGAACATGATTACAGACAGACACACAGACATGCTGACAACAATATTCCCTATGATAAATCCAGTGATCAATATTGTGAGAAAGTTCCATAGCATCGGGTAGATGACACACAATTAACCAAGTCATCGAGCCTGACCACCACCCGATCCCTTGGTCACCTCTTACGACCAGCATAGGTAGATGGGCCTATTGGTTGGGTTTGGATAACAATAAATGAAAAACATTAATATTGTGAGTGAGTGAGTGAGTGAGTGAGTGAGTGAGTGAGTGAGTGAGAGTGCGTGGATGGGTGAGTGAGTGAGTGAGTGAGTGAGTGAGTGAGTAAGTGAGTGGGTGGGTGGGTGGGTGGGTGAGTGAGTGAGTGAGTGAGTGAGGTTTTATGCAGGTTTTAACAGTACAGGAGTTTTACCACTGCATGGAAAAACGTGTGTTCTACATTCATTTAACCCATTTGTGGAATCAAACTGCAACCATGATCTTAATGAGCCATCACTTGGGCTACTCCACCACTGCTAAATAGATGAAGGACACAGGACAGGTAGTCACTGGAATGATTATTGAAATGCATACCCTGTCCCAATGTAATGACAGACGATCCGTCAACATAAACATGTTAAATTATAGGATGCAGTTGATGATATCCTTTTATCACCGGAAAGTAAACACAATGTCTATTTGCCAATTATGAAAAATTAACACAACCATTGAATGATGATATCCCAAGTCAAACACAAGTATGAGAATGTCTTTCATTTATTTGCCGCTCAAAATATATATTGCACATGCACAAAAAATAAATAAGTCATTGACTCAATAAAAATATCCATTAATGACTATTTAAAGATTTAATTTTGGAAAATCGAAGTCAAAAGTTCAAATGAATATACATATCTTATTTGATATGTCACTTTTTCTGAAAGTGAGTGAGTGAGTGAGTTGGGTTTAAAGCCGCTTTTAACAGTATTCCAGTTATATCACGGCGTGTCAGCTTAACATGGGAGGAAAGACCGAAGTGATGCAGGTCTCAGACGTTTACCACTTCGGTGAAACCCACGAGCACGGGTAGGGTGCTGACAAACCTAGAAACATAATCGGGGCGAAACGGGATTCGAACCCACAATCATAGGTTTCTGGCGTGCCCAAGGGACGCAACTCTGCACAGCGAATCACCTTAGCGCCTTAGACGACTGGGCCACCCGTGTCCCCTTTTTCTGAAAGGATAACGATTAAGAGTGAGTGTCTTCAAATTGTACTGACATATTCAGCAGAGTTAATATTATGCGTGTAGGGCCATGGCAATATATATGTGTTTTGTAATTCAGCCCCTTGAAAGGTAGGATAGGAAGGGTGTCATATTCTTTTTAATAACTGTTATTGTTCTTTGAAAAATGTCAATTTTCAGCATGTCAGTAGAGCCTGATTTCACATGAAGACAATGACGAGTTCCCAGGGAAGCTGTACCAGCTGGTGGTGACTTAAAATACAGATAATTCTGGACGAGGATCACAGCTATGTTGCATCCATTGAAGTTTCAGGGCCAGATTTGGAACTGTCACGAACAGGAGTGAGTGAATGAGTGAGTTGGGTTTAACGCCGCTTTTCACAGTATTCCAGTTATATCGCGGCGTGTCAGCTTAATGTGGGAGGAAAGCCCGAAGTGATGCAGGTCTCAGACGTTAACCGCCTCGCTGAAACCCACGAGCACGGATATGGTGCTGACAAACCTAGAAACAAAATCAGGGCGAACAGGGATTCAAACCCCCAATCATAGGTTTCTGGCGTGCCCAAGGGACGCAACTCTGCACAGCGAATCGCGGCGCCTTAGACGACTGGGCCACCCGTGCCCCCGTCATGAACAGGAAACACACATACTGCTTTTTGTCTTCTATGTTAACATATCCAGAACACCAGCACAGAACACCAACAAGCACTAAAGCATCTTGGGGTGTGAACGTCACATTTGGCACAAGGTACAATGTTTACAAACAATATCTTGAAAACAGACAAACTGTTGACATACATGTATTATAATCAAGCTCAACATTTTCATTTTTGTGTTTCTAAAAATAATGAAATAAAAAAAAATTCAAAACAATGTTGAAATTACAGAAAGGAGAAGAAAATAACGGTTTGAATGAAAATATGTTTAGTGAGCATCTTCTTGGGGTATGATTTTTAACTTATGACTTGATATTTTTTTCAAAATCAACTCTGGCAAATATTACTTTGCCTCATGCCCTTTGGAACATTGACAAATATTGTCCATAAAGTAAGATATTAAATTGGTCCAATGACATCGTCTCTCTGTTTGATTGTTGAGGAAATATGCTAATTAATTACCATCCTCCACACACACAGACACCCACACTCATGACACACACACTCACATCCTCACTCAGACACACACTCACACTGTCTCACACTCACTCACACACACACAAACACACATTCAATTCTTACTGCCACACGCACATTCTCACAGACACACACACATTCTCACACAGACACACACATTCAGATACACAGATACACACACACACACACATACACACAGACACACACACACACATACATACACACACCCACACATACAGACACACACATTATTTGTAATGAAACACACACATACTAAATGCTTGATACCAGGAATGCCCATGACAACATTGTGGGGGTAATCACATTATTGTACTCAAACACCTGACCAATAGAATGCACTCAAACATCCGACCAATAGAATGCACTCAAACATCTGACCAATAGAATGCACTCAAACATCCGACCAATAGAATTACTTGTATACAGAATTGCCTGTCACTCTTTATCTATTGTTTTGCCCCCTGCCTGAACATCTCTGGCATGAACATCTATAAACAAAATAATTACATTGGTTAGACGCAGTGTGCGAAATTGCCACCTACCCAGTAGCCCGTGGCTAGCAAAATTTTGGCCGGGCTAAAGATTCTGAAATGTCCCTAGCTTGGCTACTGAAACTGGAACAGAATTTTTTATGCACCTCACTTAGTTAAACCAAAAAAAGGTCCTCCTGTTTCTGTAGATCAATACGATCATCAAAAATAAAAAAATGAGGTTGTGAGGTTGTGAGTTAACCAAACCCCTTTAAAATATTTGACTCATAATTTGCAATTTCGGTTTATTTCGTTGATACCTTCACAGAATCATATTTCTGGAAACGTAAGCTGTAGCTTAACAAAGCTAATGAAATTTGAAACTAGCAAGTAACTTTTGAGACTAGCCAGCACACCCGGCCAGAAAATATTTCGAGACTATTTCACACACTGGTCTGACATTACATGGTACTTAGTACACTGCATACTGAGTGAGTGAGTGAGTGAGTATGGTTTTACGCTGCTTTTAGCAATATTCCAGCAATATCACGGCGAGGGACACCAGAAATGGGCTTCACACATTGTACCCATGTCGGGAATCAAACCCGGGTCTTCGGCGTGGCGTGCGAACGCTTTAACCACTAGGCTACCCGACCGTCCTACTGCATACTGACAATAATATGACTATATATGGTATGACTTCAAACAACATATTATATAACAGCTCTTCTCAAAACATTTAGTCTCCAGCTGCCCAAGCCCACAGAAGAGTCAATGAAATCGTGGACGTAAACTCTGTTTTGTCTTTTCCTTGCAGATTTCATCATGTCCATTCCAGTTTCATGGTTGACAGGTCAAACAGTAGTCTGAGTAGGTTAGGTGAGGGGAAATGGGATGTAGCAGCCCCGTCAAGATTATTTCACTTGCATAGCGACATGCATTCATGTGTGTGTGTGTGGCTGCTTGTACTAGTCCAGACTAATACCCACTCAGACACCTTATACAGACTGAGCCGACCAGTCCTTGTTTCATCTCATAAATGCGCAGCACCAGGGTAACAACACAAACCATCTTTTTACACTGTTTTGGCACAAGGCAGCCAGGGGATTGAACCGATCTTACACTCCCAATGGCCTGAGTTGTTGAAAAGTAGGTCGATAAGAATATAACTTGTGAATAAGAACACTTCTTTTCTATCATGTAATTCACTGCAGCTTTATGAAAGATGCAAATAAACCCAAAGTTTTAGCTTAAACAAAACTTTAAATTATCTTAAACTCTACAAAATGCTAATCCTTTAACTAGGACAAGCTCAGAGAACATGTCTGCCAAAACAGTCGCAATGTATCCATAACTATATCACAATGGAGAAAGAAGAACAGTGTTTCACTAACTCAAGTGGAATGAATAAACATTAATTAATTTACTGCGAGGAAGACTTGAGACTTCAATAATTTAATCCATCAGTGACGTACCAAGGCCAGTCAGGACTTCTGCACATCTACATTAGGCCTTTTACTTTTACTTAGTTGGTTTACACAACTTTTGGCCTTAAATTCAATGTAGGTGGTCAAAAAACTATTTATTAAATTTCAACTTCCAGATTTATCTGCTACTAATGAACAAAAAACAAGCACGTTTTAATATGGTAAGATACTGAAAGAATCTCTGGTTCATCACTGATGAAGGTACAAACAATATCTAGAAACAGCTTGTGTTAAGATTTAGCACAGCTTTTACGATGTAGTTGTAAACATTTAGGGGAACAAAATTTGTAGTCTTTGTATTCAAAGGGAACCTTTCCAGTGGTGTCAGTCCCACATTGCCAGCAGCGACTGAAACAGAAAATAGAGTGAACTTATGACACCTCAGAAATAACTGCGATATATTTGGCCAAACTTTACATGGATCGAAATTGAGAATCAAACTTAACAATGCTGAACTGCCCCACTGTTGAAGTCTCTGTGAAGATACGGGTTAGAATTGGTCTTCAGCACCCCAAGCTTGTCGTAAGAGGCAACTAATGGGATCGGTGGTCAGACTTGATGACTTGGTTGATGCATGTCATCCTATCGCGATTGCGTAGGTCGATGCTCACGATATCAATCACTTTGACTGTCACTCAGTAATATTCCAGCAATATGACTGAAGCCAGTAAATAATTGAGCCTGGACCAAACAATCCAGTGATTGATATCGTGCGCAACAATCCATGTCATCGGGGCAAAATGATACACAGTCAAGCAAGTCGCCAAGTTTGACCATCCGATCCATTTGGTTACCTCTTACAACCAGCATAGGTTGCTACAGACCTATTCTAACCTGGAATCTTCACGGGGGCCCCAATGTAATCCGGGTAACTTTAAATCACTGAATAATAACCTGCAGTGCCAAGTGTTTAGCAACGCAGCTGAGGTGTAACAATATGGTGGGGTCGTATCCCGATACAGTACTTTCATTTGTACTGTATAAGTTGATATTCTTTCTTTTTGCAGGTGACTCACAACCCTGACTGCTTAAATTTCGGCAATCGAAGAAGGGATGCTGTGCCCCAGAACCATATCATCTTCCCCAAGGCAAATTAAGTTAAGTGACTGTTAAGTCCAGTTTCCACCCTTGCTGAACTAGGCTGCAATTATGGAGTTATATTTTGGCTGGACTAACGAGTCTATGCATAGTCAAATCAAAACCGCGTAATGAAATCAACATCCGGTTCGTAAACTGCCGTTCAGATTTCGATCGATTGCAAGATTTGCAAAGCATGTGTACCACCAACTCAGCATAAACAGATATTATCCAAATGTTTTCAGGTTTTTAATCAAGGTGTTCGTGTGACTGGATGCACTTCGCGAAGTAAGACCCTTTATATTACAAAAACAATTTTCATTATCCGTCAGATCATCTTGACGAGGCGCCACCATTTTGTTTGAAGCAAATGAAGGTGATATTAGAGGTGGAATATGTTTGGTCAATAGGCGGGACATAGAAGGGACATAACTCGTAATAGCCACTGGTGGCACTACAATCGAGCTCACAGATTTCAGCTTAGTGTTGAAAGGGTGGAAACTGGACTTTTACAGTCAATTAACTCCCTTGCCTTGGGAAGATGGAAGCATAGAGGATAGAGGGCACTGTGACTGTTATGCTATTCATAGCCAACCAGGAAATACTAGAAAATCTGTGTATGCTGGTTGTTGAACAATTGCTGTTATTATTTACATGTTTTTACACCAATAAAACTTGCGATGCAATATATCATAAGTATCGCGATAAAGTGGTTGTAGTGAGTGAGTTGGGTTTAACACCGCTTTTAACAAGTATTCCAGTTATATCACGGCATGTCAGATTTATTTCGGAGGAAAGCCAGAAGTGATGCAGGTCTCAGACGTTTACCACTTCGGTGAAACCCACGAGCATGGGTATGGTGCTGACAAACCTAGAAACATAATCGGGGCGAACTGGGATTCGAATCCACAATCATAGGTTTCTGGCGTGGCCAAGGGATGCAACTCTGCACAGCGAATCGCTAAAGTGGTTGTAAATCTATGTTATGTATCTTGGGCCTCGTATTGGGATACAATACTGTATCACTGTTTTGTTACACCACTACTATGCAGTTGAATGTAGTCAGACTGATAAGTTTGTTTGTTTGTTTGTTGTTTAACGCCACACCCAGCAATATTCCAGCTATACGACAGCGGTGTGTAAATAATCAGGTCTGGACCAGACAATTCGGTGATTGTTTCTTTGTTTGTTTGTTGTTTAAAGTCGCACTCAGCAATATTCCAGCTATATGACGGCGGTCTGTAAATAATCAAGTCTGGACCAGACAATCCAGTGATTAATTTCATAAGCATCGATCCGAGCATTTTGGATCGATGACATGCATCAACCAAGTCAGCGAGCCTGACCACCCGATCCCGTTATTCGGTGATTGACATCATGTGCACTAATTTATGCAATTTGGATCCGATGACATGCATCAACCAAGACCTGATCCCGTTAGTCGACATATCAGGTCAGGATGCTGTAACATGGTGAAGATTGCTACAGTGGAGTCACCAAGATATTCTCTGCAAGTTCTACATAAACCAGTGATACTTGATGTGTTTGCCTAGCCTGCCTGGGTAGTCCCAGTCTAACACAACACAGCTGGACTGAACTCAGGGGTAATGAGAGACAAGTGTTTCTATGGTTACCTGAGAACAGATGGTGCTGTTCCCTGTACTTCCTGTTGCTGCAAGATCCGTCTCTCGGCTGCCAGTGCTCGCTAGAAAAAGGACATCAGTTTCCATTATCTCCATGGTCCAACATTAGCAAGTTCATAGAGTACACACTAGGCACACAGAGTACAGATGGGGACCAATCTCATTAAAATCAGATCTTTTACTCAGATACATACCTCTCTCCATCAAGATCTGAGAACACCTCCAAAGACTGTTGTGTCAGGTGAACCCTGGGTAAACTTTGACCCCCCAATCAAAATGAAGGATGTGTAGGATCTTGAGCAAATCAGATGTCAGATTTCTTTAGCGATTTGGTTTTATTTCCTAACCACCCCAAATCAAGAAATTTTGATCTTAGCAAATAGAAGACCATCACGTACACATATATATAATTGTTGATGTGTGGGTTATTTTGTTTGTTGTTTGTTGTTTAACGATGCACTCAGCAATATTCCAGTTTTGTGACAGCGATCTGTAAATAATGGAGTCTGGGCCAGATAATGGATGACATGAATCACCCAAGTGAGCGAGCCTGACCACCCAATCCCGATAGTCGCCTCTTACGACAAGCATAGTTGCTGAGGACCAATTCTAACCCGGATCTTCAGGTGGGGTGTCAAGCATGGGTTGCTGGAGACCACTTCTACCCTGGGTCTTCACTGAGGTTGATGTGTGTGTGATATTCACCTTCTCCCGATCCGAGAGAGACAGGTATCTCTTCTTCTCTTCCTCCTCCGCTCTCGTCTTAGCCATCTCCACCTTCTTCTCCTGGAAGAAACACAAATGTCAGGTCAACACATCCACATAGATGTCTGCACTGAATAAGATTTCAAAATAAATACATGTTGATGAGATTTCCACTTGTGATTGGCACCAGTGAATGAGTTGGGTTTCACGCTCCTTTTAGCAATATTCCAGCAACATCACAGCAGGGGACACCAGAAATGGGCTTCACACACTGTACCCACTAGGGGAATCAAACCGGGTTAAACACTGTAACCACTATGTTACCCCACTGCCCTAATAAGTGCCATAAAGACGGTGGTTAGTAGTTTTTGGAGTTGGAGTATCTTTAAAAGTGAGTGAGTGAGTATAAGACATGTTAGAGGTAGAGAGTTTCAGCAGGCCAGTCTTATTTGTTTGTGTTTAAGACCACAGTCAGCAATATTCCAGTTACATCATGGCAACCTTTAAATAATTGAGTCCAGGCCCAATAAACCAGTGGTAAGTTAATATTGATAGTGTGGGTGTGGCTGGGTGTAGTGTGTGGGTGTGGTGTGGTGTGGTGTGGTGTGGGTGTAGTGGGTGGGTGTAGTGGGTGGGTGTGGTTGTAGTGTGTGGGTGTAGCTGGTTGTAGTGTGTGGGTGTGGCTGGGTGTAGTGGGTGTGGTTGTAGTGTGTGGGTGTGGCTGGGTGTAGTGGGTGTGGTTGTAGTGTGTGGGTGTGGCTGGGTGTAGTGGGTGTGGTTGTAGTGTGTGGGTGTGGCTGGGTGTAGTGGGTGTGGTTGTAGTGTGTGGGTGTGGCTGGGTGTAGTGGGTGTGGTTGTAGTGTGTGGGCATGGCTGGGTGTAGTGGGTGTGGTTGTAGTGTGTGGGTGTGGCTGGGTGTAGTGGGTGTGGTTGTAGTGTGTGGGTGTGGCTGGGTGTAGTGGGTGTGGTGTAGTGGGTGGGTGTGGTTGTAGTGTGTGGGTGTGGCTGGGTGTAGTGGGTGTGGTGTAGTGGGTGGGTGTGGTTGTAGTGTGTGGGTGTGGCTGGGTGTAGTGGGTGTGGTGTAGTGTGTGGGTGTGGCTGGGTGTAGTTGGTGGGTGTGGTTGTAGTGTGTGGGTGTAGTGGGTGGGTGTGGTGTAGTGTGTGGGTGTGGCTGGATGTAGTGGGTGGGTGTGATGGTGTAATAGGTTGGTGTGGTGTGTGGTTGTAGTGGTTGAGTGTGGTGTTGTGGGTGGGTGTGGTTGTAGTGTGTGGGTGTGGCTGGGTGTAGTGGGTGTGATGGGTGTAGTCGGTGGGTGTGGTGTAGTGGGTGGGTGTGGTGTAGTGGGTGGGTGTGGTGTAGTGTGTGGGTGTGGCTGGGTGTAGTGGGTGGATGTGGTGTAGTGTGTGGGTGTGGCTGGGTGTAGTTGGTGGGTGTGGTTGTAGTGTGTGGGTGTGGCTGGGTGTAGTGGGTGGGTGTGGTGTAATGGGTGGGTGTTGTGTATTGGGTGGGTGTGGTGTAGTGGGTGGGTGTGGTGTAGTGTGTGGGTGTGGCTGGGTGTAGTGGGTGGATGTGGTGTAGTGTGTGGGTGTGGCTGGGTGTAGTTGGTGGGTGTGGTTGTAGTGTGTGGGTGTAGTGGGTGGGTGTGGCTGGATGTAGTGGGTGGGTGCGGTTGTTATGGTGTGTGATTGTATCGGGTGGCTGTGAAGAGTGTAGTTGGTTGGTGGTATGGAGTGTGATTGTAGAGTGAGGGTGGGTGAAGTGGGTGGGTGGCAGATGATGTAGTGGAGTGTGGCATGAATTGGAGTATGAGCGTACTGGGTCTGCTGGGGAGGGCCGTGATGAGCAGGGTTGGCTCTGGTGGGGTGTGTCGAGCTGTGGTGAGCTGCGGTGAGCTGTGGTGAGCTGTGGTGAGCTGGAGTGGTAGAGTTAGTTACAACACCTTCGGCCACACAAAGACTGGCCAGCACAAAGTGCAACAGTAGTTCCATACTAAGCTGCACCAATACAAAGCAGAGTGCAGCAATGAGACACACTGGGAAACCTGCAACCAACAAAGCAGTATTCTACAACCCTTATACTGTAATGTGGGACTTGTCACAGTAACATGACACAGTGACCTGAATATGTCTTCTTTCCCTCGTGAGTAGTCTAAAGCTTAAAAAAGAATTACTGTACTCCATAAAACTGCTTCCTGTTTCCTCGATATTTTATTTTTCTTGGTTTGTAATTACTTTTATTAACATTATTTTTCTAGGCAAATTTTGTGTAGTCATAACTATCTCACGACAGGTGCTATACAAATCCCTACTACTACTACTACTACTACTACTACTACTACAGTAGAGGAAGGGGTTACACATACTACATCACCATGACAACAGTCTGGGAAGGTCTACCTTGAGGCGTTCCTGTTTGGCTTTCTTCTGCTGTTTCTTCTTCTCGGCATCCTTGACCCGCTTCTCTGCCTCCATCTCGGGTGTGAGTGCACTTGGGATCTGGGAGAAACAGGAAGTCACATAACCAAACATTGCCCACACTGCCACTATGAACATCAGGAGCGTGTGCGTGTGTGGCGGCCAGTTGTTGTTATCAGTAATCAAGAGCATCTGATTGGCTGGTAGAAAAATCATAATTGTCAGACTCTTATTTTGCTTGATATTACCAGAAATAAAAGCCAGCAAAGTAATAAATTGAAATAGTGGATTTTTGTATACCTCAGTACAATTTAAGTAGGGGAGGCAACATTGGACCGGGTGAGCTATGATGTCACCCAATGGATTACTTTGACCAGGTGAGCTATGATGTCAGCTGTCACCTACCTCAGCTAGATGACCTATGATGTCAGCTGTCAATGTGTCATCTACTTGCACTAGGTGAGCTGTGATGTCAGCTGTCACCTACCTGGACCAGGTGAGCTATGATGTCAGCTGTCACCAACCTGAACCAGGTCAGCTGTGATGTCAGCTATGAACTACCTGGACCAGGTGAGCTATGATGTCAGCTACCTGAGCTTGGTGAGCTATGATGGCAGCTGTCACCTACCTGAGCCAGGTGAGCTATGATGTAAACTGTCACCTACCTGGGCCAGGTGAGCTATGATATCAGTTGTCACCTACCTGAGCCAGGTGAGCTATGATGTAAAGTGTCACCTACCTGAGCCAGGTGAGCTAAGATGTAAACTGTCACCTACCTGAGCCAGGTGAGCTATGGTGTAAACTGTGACCTACTTGAGCCAGGTGAGCTATGATGTAAACTGTCCCCTACCTGAGCCAGGTGAGCTATGATGTAAACTGTCCCCTACCTGAGCAAGGTGAGCTATGATGTAAACTGTCCCCTACCTGAGCCAGGTGAGCTATGATGTAAACTGTCCCCTACCTGAGCAAGGTGAGCTATGATGTAAACTGTCCCCTACCTGAGCCAGGTGAGCTATGATGTAAACTGTCCCCTACCTGAGCCAGGTGAGCTATGATGTAAACTGTCCCCTACCTGAGCCAGGTGAGCTATGATGTAAACTGTCCCCTACCTGAGCCAGGTGAGCTATGATGTAAACTGTCCCCTACCTGAGCCAGGTGAGCTATGATGTAAACTGTGACCTACTTGAGCCAGGTGAGCTATGATGTAAACTGTCCCCTACCTGAGCCTTGCTGTAGTCAAACTTCTCTGGGAACTCCCCCATAAATCTACGGAACTCATTCCTCGTCTCCTTACTGGTCGTAACGGAGTAAGGCACTTTTCCAAACTTGTCTCTGAGTGAGAAATAAATATTCATATAGAGATAAAACAAACCTGAAAAACATATGGTTTTAAGGAACATGAATGTGAATTTTATCTCAAAACTAAAAAAAAGAAAGAACAACCGAGACCAGACTTAGAGAAACAGTGAGTGCACTGTGTTTAAAGATCTGATTCAACTGTATTTTCAGCCTGTTCCTCATGCTCTCATGGCATTTTAACTCAATTGTCCTGAGCAAGGTCTTGTGCCTTTTTTTTAACCAATAACACATAACATTTATGGTAGAATGGCTTCGTGTACAAAAAATGAACTGGTCTCTCTTACAGACCTTACAGTATTTTTGATAGGATGCACATGTGCACAACAGTATTACCGCTTAATTCATCAGGTTTGCATTGCTGAAAATAACAGCTGTGTTGCAGGCTCTCCTCCAATGTTAAACCATTTTCATTTTTGTTAAACCAGCCAACAATTTTTTCCCCCACCTACCAACAGGTTTTTACCTGTAAAAAATCTGTAAAGCAAGTAAAAGGAAAAGTGTGGCCTTAGAAGTGAGTGAAATCCATTGTCTCTAGTCTGCCTGTACGACTGTCATGCGTATGACAGATGTTTAAGGCCAAAGAAAAATAATTGTTCAGCCCATCCCCCAAAAATAGGGAAGGTGAGATGGGTTGATTTTCATTTTCATTTTCATTTTGTAAAACGGTATTTAGCAGTAAGTCGGTAAAAGGTACTGACATCGGGTTGGAGAGACTAGGAGACTCACTTGACTGCGGGATCGGCACCCGCCTTCATCAACAGTCTGATCAGGGACGGATAGCCACCCTTCGAGGCCACGTGGAGCAACGTCGTGCTGTTGTCACCAAAAGGTTCGTTCAACACTTCAACTGTAAAAAGGGGAGATAACTCAAATGTAGGTTGAGCCAGACCCAGCGTGAGACCTGGAAGACCTGCAGGTTTCGTGCTTGTCATCTTCTCTGATGATTCTTTCTCGAAAGTCTCGCCATTTTTATGTCTGTCGTGATGCACAATTTCTGAAATTGCATCCTCATCTTTCAAGGCATCAACATTCTCTGTATATTCCTGCCCATTTTTACTGACAATCTCTGAATCAATGTCTCCGCAATCTGTCACCTTGATTTCATAATCCCCCTCTCCTTGATGGAAACTTTCGTCCTTAACATTTTCTGTCTCAAAAACAGATTCAGGAATGTTTTCTTTTCCTTCTGTGGCTGAACCACCATCTTTATCGACCTGGGATATTTCCTCCCCCTTGTCTACCCCCACGGGCAGGAGGACCTCTGCCTCCCCAGACTCAACAGGTGCTCCCTGCCCCCCCTGCTGGGCAGTGTCGTCAATCAGGGGACTATCTACACAAGCTGCTGGGTGGTTGAAGATAGCCAACAAACTGCGGAGTGCACTCTTGTCTCCGACTTTGCAGGCGGTGTACAAGGCGTTGCGGAGGTGGTATCTTTCTTCAGCTGAAAGCAAAACACAAACAGGTTAACTTAGACCGGCAGTAGAAATGTTTTATTTTCTGAGGAGAATTAACGTTTAACACCACTTGGAGTATGGCTTCACAGGGTTTGAAATTTATTTAGATTTTCATTAGTCCATAAAAACAATCTGACGCACTGTAATAACAATAACAGACTCGAGTACCATGTCTCGAAACCTGATCAGACTTGAATCCCCAATTTCCAGATAATCAACATTTTTTCTCTTTTTAAACATAATCTCAGTCAAAATGTGTCTGCAACACACGACAGACGAGTTAAGATGTGAGTTATCTCCCCTGATCGGTTACGCAAGTCCCTGAGGAAGAAGTCGAGTCCATCTAAACTCAGCTACTGGACTCACCAAATGTCCAAAGTATCATCCCACAAAACTGACCACTTTTAAAAAACATCACATCATTTATATTTTACTCTATGTATATTTCTGAAGATAAGACGATAGTCCAATGAGTCTGCTCACCAAACAGATCACCTTCTGGTTCCACTTGATGTTTCAAAGATGGCCGCCGCTGCCGTTTGTTTTTCTTCCTGCGAGGTCTCTTCCCAGTCTGCTCGAACTGCTGCAGATCTAGTGTACTAATGGTCTCCTCCATCTCCACGAGGTCTGCCTCACTCGCGGTCGACGTTGCCGACGACGAGGGCTGGTTTTCCTCACAAAGCAAGTGATCTGATTCAGACACAATGAAAAGCAGTGAGTGAAGGCTTCGATGATAGTCATGTGATTGTCTGAAATTTATCATGTTAAGTAATCAAGACTGGGACTACAAAACCAATGGCTTGTACGGAATGAGTGATGGAATGTTTGCCAATAATCAAGCAGATAAACCAGTGATTGATAGCATGAGTAATGATACATGACATCGGGGCACGAAAACACGCAATCAGCACGGTCACATGTTGTGTTGCCTTAAGCAAGTGACTTTGTTCGAAATATGCCCCTGTTCACCTAGTAATGAATGGATATCCGATAGGTAATGTGACTGTTAACGATCTAGAGCCAAACAGGTAGCTTGAGTTGTATACTCCCCAGGGAGCTGAGAATGAAAATCAAGAGCACACTTAACCATTGAACAGAGTAATAATGTTTGAGCATACTTTAGGGTGTGGACAATGACACTATTATCATTGTTGTGATCACAGTAATTGTCAAAATAACTTACTACTATGGTAAGGTCAGGAAAGCAAGTTTGGTTATACGCTGGTTAGAAGGGATGCAACAGTGAACTGCAATGCCTGTGACAAGTAGGCTATCCATGCCCTCTGTTCCATCACAATGGTGAAAACAAGTATTGCTTTAATAAAGCCTAAACGTTTTTAGTATCACAACCTATCACTACCCACCTGGGAGAATGAACTTGCCCGTCTGTTTGTTGCTTGGGCTGCCACTAACAAATTTCGGGGAGGCAGCTAGTGGGGACACGCTTAAATCTTTATCTTTCAGTTTCCGTGGAGATCGGCGTAGCGAATCCTCAGACACAATTTCCAGTCGCCCTGTCTCAGGACTAAAGTGACGCAATGGCGACATTGGCAGAAAATCTTTCACATTGCCCTCCTCACCTGTGACAAAAACAACGTAGACAAATATGTCTGGAACAAAACCTGTCTTCCACCTACACACTTCCCGCCAAAGCCCAATATCATCAAAATCAGATTTTCTACTCTGACACAATACCTCTCTGCGTAAAGATCTCACACACCCGCCACAGAAGATAGCATCATGTGAACCCAGAGCAAACTTTGACTGTACAGTCAATGAAGTCTATGAACCCTTGAGTCATTCAACATTTTACAACATATCAGAGTAAAAACCTGATACTAACGAGTTTAACAATTGCCAGAATATTATTACATGCAAAGGTCAATATTTACCTGTAATTCTATGAAAGTACAGTAAACTATGGTTATAACGAACTCAAAGGGACTACTAATTTTAGTTCGTTATAACCGTAATTCGTTATAAGCATATATACAGTATAACTACAGCAAATAGTCGGGACTAAAAAGTTAGTTCATTATATCCGTTAGATCGTTATAAGCTTGTTCGTTATAACCGTAGTTTACTGTATACCTGTATTACTGTCAGGTATTCTACACTTAAGAATTGACCTTCACTTTGTGTGAGTCATTGGAGTATGAACCTTCATAGAGTGAGGGCCAAACTGTATGAACGTCGGAGCTTGCGACGACGTTCATACAATGTTTGGCCCTCACTCTATGAAGGTTCATACTCCAATGAACTCACACAAAGTGAAGGTCAATTCTTATAATTTTTTTATCACTATTTCTTACCTCAAAAGATGTAGGCCTAGATCTAAACACAATTTTATTTAGTACGTGTGACTTCATGTTTACACTGACAGCCATACAACAACCAGCTACATCGCGGAGTAAAATAGTTCCTCAAAAAGAGAGGTGACATGGGCGTATGGATGCACAACTTGCTCTCCAGAAACATCTTACGCAGCACATGTGTTCAAATCATATCCTCATTAGATGAGAAAGGTCTGTAAAGAACTACCTCAGTAAGTCAGTCACAATGACAGCGCGTCGTAATACATTTACATCAAGTACAAGACGTCAAAATGGCCGACACGATAAACGTGACGGGAGAGATTTCCGAAGTTGTTGATGAACCTTTGGCGGTTACATGTGTTAGTCATCATTAATCAACTGGCCGATCATTGAAAGGTTAATAAAGATGCGTCAAACAGACACAAAGGTAAATTCATAGATTGCTGGAGACGGTCAATGTCAGCCTAGGCACGCATCGAGTCGATACTACGATAGTTTAGATGTGCATTTCTTCGTTTGTTCATTAGGATGGGCGGTAGCGAGGATATTCGTGAACAATCATGCAGTCACTCTCTCTGACATTTCTCAAAGTATACTGAAACGCTGAGACCAAGAATAAAGGTTCTAAATGATCAGAAAGAACGCTTATGCATGTTTTCGTGGTAGGGAATTCCCAGGGGTTTCCCCAGGAATGTGGAAGTAGTCCGTCAGTTTTTACGTCATTTCAAGAACACGGTCTCGTGAAAAACGTATGAACGTCAAATTGTGTCGTTCATACACTTATGAACGTCAATTTCGCGGTCCTGTGACCGACCTCTCGTCCAATGGAAAAGCCGTATATCGTGTAAACTTCAAATCTAAAAATTATAAAGGAGTAAGTGTTGTTTAACACTTTAGCAATGTTATTTTTGGTTCACAGAAGCTTTGATTTTCTCTCTCTGCCAACACCTTTTGGAACAGAGAATGGGGGTCTCTCTACAGGATTTTCGGGACTCAACAGTGTGGTACGTGTTGACCTAATGTCGAATTTCAAGGGTCAATCATTGAACTAGCATAAGAATAAGTTGTTCATTGAGTGTCTGAAATAACCGCCTGCCTGCCTGCCAGTGGCTGGTAACTTTTCTGGGCTGAGGGGCGGTCGGGTAGCCTAGTGGTTAAAGAGTTCGCTCGTCACGCCGAAGACCCGGGTTCGAATCCCGACATGGGTACAATTTTTATGAAGCCCATTTCTGGTGTCCCCCGCCGTGATGTTGCTGGAATATTGCTAAAAGCAGCATAAAACCAAACTCACTCACTCACTGTTGTAATTTTCCTCCACTTGCCCGCTTATCTGGCAGATAATTTTATGACTAATTATGTATTCTGTTTTATTATCATTCCTTGTAGATTCTCAAGTAATTGTTTGCATTATTATTGATGAATCAAGATGGGTTTTGTCCCTGTTTTTTCACGACTTTTAAATATCTATAATCTCTGAAAGTGGCAGATAACTTTGAACACCATCTTCCCGAGGCAAGTGAGTTAACTGACTATAAAAGTCCAGGTTTCCACCCTTGCCGAACTAGGCTGGTATAATGGAGTTACATTTTGGCTGGACTAACGAGTCTATGCATAGTCCAATCGAAATCGTGCACCGAAATCGAAATCCGATTTCGTAGAGTGTCATGCAGATTTCGGTCGACTGCAGGATTTGCAAAGCATGTGCACCGCTAACTCGTTGTCAACAGATATTTTCTAAATCTTTTCATGTTTTTAATCAAGGTGCTCACGTGATTTGATACACTTCGCGATGTAAGACTCGTTTTATCACAATATAGATCTTGATTATCGATCAGATCGTCTTGACTGGGTGCCACCGTTTTGTTTGAAACAAATGCAAGTGATACGAGAGGTTGAATCTGATTGGTCAATAGGAGAGGCATAGAAAGGACATCTCGTATTAGCCACTGGTGGCGCTACGATCGAGCCCAGGAATTCCAGCCTAGTTCGGCAAGGGTGGAAACTGGACTTTTAAAGTCAGTTAACTCTCTTGCCTCGGGAAGATGTTGAAGACGGACAGGCAACATTAATGGATCACTTGCCCGACTGTCTTATTGGGTTTGAAAATTATCATATACGGAAAATATGTCATCATGCACGGAAAAATATGCTGGCATTTAATGATGGCACTTGTCACCTTGGCAACAAGTAGCAAGGATTTGTGTCTTACCATAACACTCGACTGATGCCAGCATCTGGTGGACTCGTTTCACTTCATTTAGAGTTGGTCGACGTGTTGGGAATGGAACTGTTCTGATGCGAACGTCATCCTTCTTAAAGGGCGGGTTCTTGCTGGCATAGAACATCTGTCTGTTGAAGCTCGGCGCTCGGAGGAAGATGAGGTCACATTTCTTCAGGTGCTCAGACCAGGAGGTCAGGAGATCCTGGACTTCCTGAACACACAACATTGGAGTGTGTAACTAGCAGGGTCTATACTATACCAGTACAACATGGTTGCATAATACCGGTTATAATTACATGGGTTTATACCAGTAAAACAGCTCAAGTCATGATTACAACTTATATCAAGAACTATCTCAAGGGCAAATTCAGGACATTTATAAAAGTGTTTCTACCTGTATAAGTGCCGCCTCGTTATGGCGTCTAATGCTGGCACCTGCTGACTTGGGGGCATTCCCCTGGCTGTCTCGACTGCTCTGTGCTGTCCCGCGTTTCGCCCGGACCACATACCGATGGAAGGTCTTGTGGACTACCAAGGTCTCTCTGAAAGTTTCACACGAATCTTTTGAATTCCTTAGCATGGATCTTGGCAAATCTCGTTCTTATGTTACACAAAAAACAAGAGTGAGTGAGATTGTGTTAATGCCAATTTGAACAGTGTTTCAGTGATATTCAGGTTGATGTGGGAGGAAAGCCCCAAGTGGTGCAGGTCTTAGACATATTAGGTTCCTGGCACAACTAAGGGACACTACTCTGCAAAGTGACAACTGGGCCACTTGTGCCCCCAGATGAAAGAAGAAACTATAGGAATTTGTGTTCCCATGAACAAGTATATTAATTTTCATTCTATAAAGGACTGTGTAGGAACACAAAGCCAAAGTGAATCGCCCACTTTGTTAAAAAGAGCCAACTAATTTGCAACCATGTCTGTTTTACTAAACCATTCTCACATCATGAAACCCCCATCTATTTTGGGGGGAAGTGAGGAAAGGTTTATGAGTGAGTGAGTTGGATTTAACGTCGCTTTTAACAGTATTCCAGTTATATCGCGGCGTGTCAGCTTAATGTCGGAGGAAAGCCCGAAGTGATGCAGGTCTCGGACGTTTACCACTTCGGTGAAACCCACGATCACGGGTATGGTGCTGACAAACCTAGAAACATAATCGGGGTGAACTGGGATTCGAACACAATCATAGGTTTCTGGCGTGCCCAAGGGACACAATTCTGCACAGCGAATCACGGCGCCCTGACGACTGGGCCACCCGTGCCCCCAAAGGTTTATGAGCCAGTAGCCATCACATCAATGAACAAAAAGTAGTTCCAGCCATGTGACCTCATTTGCATAGTTATCAACTTGTAATGCAAATTTTTATGAGAATGGTTTCAATAACACTATCCATTATATGTCAAAGAGAAGAAGTTCACAGAAGTTTCCTCTACACAGGGTAGGGGTGAGACGGGTTACTCTGGTACTCGGCTCGGGTTGGTCCTAAGTTACACCCAGGTACCCACAGGACTACCCGGACCCTGATGATAACAAGAAAACTCCAAGGTTACACTACAAGTCGCTGATGGTCACATTACTTTCTGACTATGTACGCATTCTTGACTTAAATGTTTGAGTAAAGATAAAGCTTCAGTCAACTTCAGTGCATGAATGACCTGATCATTTTCTACGTGTATCTGAATAGGTTTTGCCAGGGCTCCAGAAAAACAGTTCCAATCAGACATTTTGTACCCAACTCCCAAGACCTAGACCCAGATAGGGTCAGGTAATAGGGGTCAGGTAAATTTGGACTCATCAAAGCCCTAATACACTGCCAACAATCACTTCTTCTCTGTTGTCACGTACCCCTCAAACACTGCTGCAGCAAAATGGCCGCCAGCTGTCATACAGATCGCCCACTTGGTTTTCTGGGGCAGATCAGCAGCGGTGGCTATCAGCTCAGCCTGGGTGCTAGGAGGTTTCTGAAAACACACACAATATCATAAAAATCATATTAATATTTTTGTCTCAGGGTATTGTAAAATGAAATTTCTGGGGATATTCCTGACGGATTTCATCAGCTAATCTTAACTTTAATTTTAATTTTAATTTTAATTTTAATTTTAAATTTAATTTTTCTATACAGTTCATCCCATTATGGATGGTTTAAATGATTATAAGATTGAATTGCTGGGTCACTTTCAAAAATATTTCTTATGATTGTTTTCACCTTTTTATGATACAGTAGGCATCGGAACACGGAAATTAGCTCTCCTTCTTTGTTCTTAAAATAGACTTTGGGGTATTTCCTGGCTGTTCCTTCTATCGTCAACCCTCCCTCAGATTCACTGTCTGTGCCACTGTGGGCTGACGCTCCCCTCACATGCTGGGGTATAGCCATGGGTTTGCTCTTCCCTCTCCCTCCCCCGGTATCAGTGTCCGTGTCAGACATCTCCGACTCATCCTCCGACCCCGATATGCTGGAAACATCACCTGGAATGACAGCAATGTCCATCTAATGCAGGTAACACAGTGAGTGAGTGAGTGAGTGAGTGCCCATGTCGGGATGACATCACATACTTCCACAATAAGTGAATAAATATTGATCAAGAATAATTTAGTTCAAGTGGTATCGCTGGGTGCGGTGTTAAACAACAACAAACAAACATTAATTTGACACATAGTTCCCAGTTTACATCAGGTTCAGCTTTGTGTTTCATTGTTGTTGTTGAACGCCATACTCAGTAACAAGTCCTGCTATAGGACTGTCACCTGTAAATAACTGAACTAGACAAACCAGTGGTCGATATTATGAGCAACAGTCCATGATGCCAGATGAGTGAGTGAGTGAGTATGGTTTTACGCCGCATTTAGCAATATTCCAGCAATAACGCAGCGGGGGACACCAGCAATGGGCTTCACACATTGTACCCATGTCGGGATTCAAACCCAGGTCTTCGGCGCGATGAGCGAACGCTTTAACCACTAGGCTACCTGACCGCCCCAATGCCAGATGAGTGAGTGAGTGAGTGAGTGAGTTGGGTTTAACGCCGCTTTTAACATTTATTCCAGTTCTATCACAGCGTGTCAGCTTAATGTGGGAGGAAAGCCCCAAGTGATGCAGGTCTCAGAAGTTTATCACTTCGGTGAAACCCACGAGCACGGGTATGGTGCTGACAAACCTAGAAACATAATCGGGGAGAACCGGGATTCAAACCCACAATCATAGGTTTCTGGCATGCCCAAGGGACGCAACTCTGCACAGCGAATCGCGGCGCCTTAGACGACGGGGCCACATGTTATCAGACATGTTACCCATTGTTTACAGATATATTTAACTTGAAGTACCTGCTATTTTTTCAAACTCGTCTTCACAAACAAACTTGGACCCTTTTAGTCGAAGTTTCAAGTTGTATCTGTGCCAGTCTGATTTGTAATGCGCTTTCTGAAAATATAAAATAAAAACATTTGATTACAGTTACCATGGTGACTTGTCCTTGTTTGTGTTTAGAAAGATTCAAGGCTTAAGGAGACTGGTCATTTAATAGGGGGGGGGTGTTGAAAGATTTGTCTAATACTGTATGATATTTTGCTGCGACCCCTACCCTTCCCTGCATGTAATGCGCCTTTTTTTCAGGACCCCCACCCCCCAATAAAAATTACGAGTCTCTCTAAAGAGAACTTGAAATTCATAAAATGTCCTTGACAGTAAAGCTAACCAAGGACATGAGAGAAACATCTGGCTGATGTTGATGCAAATATATTGTGACATCTGATGCAATAGATTCCTGATAATTTTCTGCTGTTTCTGCATAAAGTTTGATAGTCTGATTAAGTCAGATTAACTTATGATAATCAGGCTATTCATTTGTATAGTAAAATTAATGATAGGTGAGGCACACATGTTGCCAAAAGTGCAACAAGTACTTCTGATACGCGTGTTTTCCCGTTTTCAATAGATCTGATAACAATATCTGACTCGTTTACATCTTACCACTAAATACACTCATTAACATATTATCACTAAATAATCATAATAATCATATGTGTTCTGAGTCAGCTAAGTTTTGCACTAAAACAAAGAGGATGTGACTAGTACTGATGAGGCTAGATAGCGAGTTTAGCTTCACGCCAATTTGAGCTGTATTCAGTTACATCATGGAGGGAAGCTTGATGCTGGAGGAAAGCCTGAAGTGATGCAGATCTAAGACACTGGAGATCAATATGAAACCAACAAGCACAGGAAGATATAGAGGCTTGCCGAGGAGTTTTTCCACTTTTATCAACGAGTGTTGATCCTATATTTGATATCACAAGACACGAGGGTGAAAACTTATCTATCATCCAACATCATTCTTCCTACTTTTTCGGTTTGTAGACAGTAATTAGCAGTGTCTTAAGTGTAAAATGTACTGCTAACAGCTTCAGTAGCAGAGCCATTACTGATGTCATTTGATTGTGACATGGTAACCAATGACGTCACAATGGCCTGCAAAGTATTGTGATGCAATTTCATTGCAGATACATTGAAGATATAGCTTGATCTCACCCAAGCGATATCTCCTGTGGGAGCCAGTTTGGGATGATAAATTTCTCTGATAAAATCAGCAACATAATTATGTGTGTTTGTTTGTTTGTTTGTTGTTTAACCCTGCACTCAGCAATATTCCAGCTGTATGACGGCGGTTTGCAAATAATCAAGTCTGGACCACACAATCCAGTGACTGACATCATGAGCATCCATCCACGCAATTGGGATACGATGACATGCATCAATCAAGTCAGCGATCCTGACCACCCGATCCCATTAGTCGCCTCTTACGACAAGCATAGTCGCCTTTTACAGCAAGCATGGGTTCACGGGTCAGCAACATAATCAGGGCGAATCTGGGATTTGAACACACAATTATAGGTTTATGGCTTGCCTAAGGGACACAACTCTGCACAAGTGTGGTGCCTGAGGCCAAATAACTAGCTGACAACACTGCCTAACTTCAAACAAAGGAGTACTGGCAGGTCTTTTGGATATTTGAACTGAACGACAATGACCACAACATTTGTATATTAGAATAATATTTTGTTATACCGTATTCGACGTAATAAGCGCCCTGCTCTAATAAGCGCCCACGGCGATATTTGCTAATATATTGGCTAGTGAACAATCTCAATTAGCACCTCTTCCAATTGATTAATGTACACAAGACTTATTCATTTGTGTATAATACGCACTCGTGTGTTATATGCACCCTTAATTATGGGCAATTAAATCCTGGAAAAATATATCTGTCGTATATAAACATTTCAGGCTGTCAGCATAAACCATGAAATTTACGATCTTTCAACTCAAAATACTATTCTAATAAGGGCCCCCTGTTTCTAATTTCGAGAGCGCCCTGGGCGCTTATTACGTCGAATACGGTATTGACATTTTTTAAGTGGAGTTCAGCAGTGTCAGCATGTGCTCTTTACTCATACATATAATCATGATAATGTTCTTATTAATAACAGTCTTCCAACATTTAAAAACATAACAATTTGAATAAATTTTGAGAGTTAAGGTTTCAAGCTATTTTGAAGCGCTGTCTGAACATCAGAAACATTGAACATGTTGAAGTAATGTTTGAGTTTTGAAAGTTCAAGATGGTCATGGGTGAAAAATTGACATCAAAATGAACATTTTGAAGGAGACTTTCCCATAGTCTTAAATCAAATAGCATGCAGAAATTGGTGTAATATGTTCCCATTTTTGTGGCAGGGTGTATTTTGCATTGTCCAAAATGAAAACTTTACTTTAGGTATGGGTGGGTGAAATTGCGTTTAACGTCACGTCCAAGATTATTGCACTTATATAGCGACGTGCATGCACGTGTGTGTGTGTGTGTGTGTGTGTGTGTGTGGCTGCTTGTACTAGTCCTGACTGATGACGATTTATAGTGCTAGCTCACTGAGATACCATGCCGCAGTTTAACATGAATATCCCACTCAGACACAGTATACTGACTCCGAGCCGACCAGTCCTTGTTTTAGCCCCTTAATGCCGAGCGCCAGACAGGGTAACAACAAGTACCATCTTTATCGTCTTTTGGTATGAAGCGGCCAGGGATCGAACTCCGGACCTTCCGCTCTCTGAGCGGACGCTCTACCTCTAGACCACGGAGGCAGTCTTTAGGTATGGGTAAAACATGTTCTGTGAAAATGATAATTAGCTGATAATCATGATAATGATCTGTTTTTCACTAAATTGTAATTCTGTAAGTTCAGTGACAATGGACAGAAGAGTGGATAAATAAACAACCGACAGAGACATATAACATAACCATAAAAACACAACTTTATCTCAAACGTCATTTGTTCAGGAGTTATTTTGTAATTCCGTCTCCTTCACAACCTGCATGTTTAAAACTGAGCTACACAAGCTGACAAAAGATGCAAGATAACGATGGCATGTACCTGCCCCCGGCGTGTGTCGAACTCTACACTGCAGAAGTTGCAGGACATCTTGTCCGACACCACATGCTGCCTTCTGTGGTGGTGATGGCCGAACACTTCTGGAAACAAGACAATCAAGACCCTGTCATTCCCCCAAAGAGGCTGCAGAACCAAAGTTCATATACAATTGTATCAAGATTTTCCAAAAATACAATGCTAGGAAAAAACTGAAAGATCATAATAATAATTTTGCTCCATTAAAAGCAGTTTGGCATGTTTTATTAAAACAATGAAAGAAGAAACAACACCACGTGAAAGATGGGCTTTTCAAAATAGGATGAGGCAATTGGCACTTCCGGCACACTTTATCCCAGACCTTCAAACATGACTTTGTTCGTCTGCTGGCTCAATATTTATTATGTTGAAGGTGAGGTGAAATTGGGTTTAACGTCGCGTCCAAGATTATTGCACTTATATAGCGACGTGCATGCACGTGTGTGGCTGCTTGTACCATGTACTAGTCCGGACTGATGCCGATTTATAGTGCTAGCTCACTGTGATACCATGCCGCAGTTTAACATGAATACCCCACTCAGACACAGTATACTGACTCCGAACCGACCAGTCCTTGTTTTAGCCCCTTAATGCCGAGCGCCAGACAGGGTAACAACAAGTACAATCTTTTAACGTCTTTTTGTATGACGCGGCCCGGGATCGAACCCTGGACCTTCCGCTCTCCGGGCGGACGCTCTACCACAATATCAATATTCAATATTTATTATGACAATCAATGCAACAGTTATTCTACCATGACACTGAGCAGAATGTTTGATCCCTGCTAAGTGCTCGGTCCAAATAACAAATATGAGACATTGATTCCACAGGAGACGAGCTCAAATTAAAAAAAAAAAGTTCATTTATCTTTTAAATGAGTACCCTAATTACACAGACACGGTTTCAGTTTAAACTAGTTAAAACAAGGCACATATTGCAATGTCTGAACCAAGACTGGACATTTGCAGCAGATCTTGGATCATTGTCTCCCTTGAATGTAGCATGGACACCAGGGATATTTCTCCCTCTCCTTGTCAAGGCTCAGTAATATGTTGAAAGCATAAGCACGAACACAAACAGACAACAAAACTCGCTGCTTCAGGTCAAACATTGTTATTCGTTTGACTTTCATTCTACAACTGACAAAACAATCATCTCCACACACACACACACAATCATTCCAAAACACAATCAAGGTCACATTCTATACTTACATCTGTCAACTTTACTGATATAATTCACACGCTATCATAACACCTGAACTTCCGGAATGAGAGTTATCTCCCCTACATCACTTGTCATGCATGAACGAAACAGAAACATTTACTATGTTTAAATATTCACTTTCATTCAGTTCCAATTTGTAGTATAATTGAGTGAGTGAGTGAGTTTGGTTTTACGCTGCTTTTAGCAATATTCCAGCAATATCACGACGGGGGACACCTGAAATGGGCTTCACACATTGTACCCATGTCGGGATTCGAACCCGGGTCTTCGGCGTGACAAGCGAACGCTTTAACCACTAGGCTACCCGACCCTCTGTAGTAAAATTGATGCCTTATAGCCCTCAAATACTTCTAGTCAATCATTGTATTTTCACTTGCCTTCAGCAAAAAGAATTGTAGTCCCAGGCTCATGGACGAACATCATTTTCGAAGGATGAACACACCATAAACATGAAAAGCTGCTCAGTCCATTGTCTTACCTTTGTCAGAATCAGCGTTATCTATAATCCTGTCATCATCCTCAACACTTGGGTTGCATGTTGCTATGGTGATGCCGTACAGCTTCTCCTGGGCCAGTCTCCCATGGTATAACATACAGGAGGAATAATGCTGGCTCTTCTTCTTTGGCAGCTTCCTGGGACTTCTGGTGCCCCCTTCCATTTTCTATCATCATTGGAAACAGATATGGCATTACTTGCAATCAGCATGATCAGAGAATATATGTACCTGTTAGGCCAAAATAAAAAGTCTTATGTTTCTGGTCTTTTGGTTTGGCCAAAAAACGAGTGACAACTCAACTTTTTTTAAACAAAAACATAATAAGGTCTGTTATCAAAATGCCTTTTTTGCAGCAATTCAGAAAGGTTCAGTAGAGTGATGTCTAAACTGTACTTTGACAAGCCAAAAAGAACAAAAAAAGCAATCCATTCTACCTACACTTTTGGGGGGATAGACTGAAATGGGAAAATCAAATATTTTTTCCTTGGCCTTAAAGTAACATGTGTCATATACATGATAGTCTCCTCGTTCCGGCAGACTGGTGACTGTGGATTTCACTCACTATTAGCATGAAATGGTATACTTAGTTTGATCATGTTTACACAGACATTGATATCATCGGAACATTTTTTTCAAAGGGAATCATTAATCACTTACAAGAACCAGAATCATATGAACATTGTTAGACTAACATATAGTCCCTGAAATAATGTTGTGGTATGGAATACATGGTATAAGGTTAAATAAAAATCATTCCACAAGGGAACCCACAAGTATTAAAGGCACCCTTGAGTTCCCAAATTCCTACTATCCTAGAATGAGTGAGTGAGTTGGGTTTAACACCGCTTTTAACAGTATTCCAGTTATATCACGGCTCATCATGTTAATGTGGGAGGAAAGCCCGAAGTGATGCAGGTCTCGGACCTTTACCACTTCGGTGAAACCCACGAGCACGGGTATGGTGCTGACAAATCTAGAAACATAATCGGGGCGAACCGGGATTCGAACCCACAATCATAGGTTTCTGGCGTGCCCAAGGGACGCAACTCTGCACAGCGAATCACGGCGCCTTAGACGACTGGGCCACCCATGCCCCCTCTACTATCCCTAGAGCTGAACAAGGGATGAAAGTGGAATGGGGGGGGAGGGGGAACCAGAGCTTTGTGACACAAAGACGTTCAGCTATAAGGCACCAGACTTTGCTCAGGACAAGTGATAGTCCTGGCAAAATGGTTTCAAGTCAGTTGTCTCGTAGATTTGTTAGAATGCTATCCTTGACTATGTTGACTCAAAGATGTACATCAGTCGGCACTAATTACAAGGAGACAAGTCTTAATAGCATGGTTACAATTAGCACTAAGGCTAGAAATGAGAACAAGAGAGTGGAACAAACACAATGCCTTTTTAAATTCACACCTCTTTAACAAATGAAACTTCTAGCCATTTGAAGCCTGGTACTAGTGGTAGTCACATCATTAAAAAATGAAATACCATGAGCAATATATGACCAGATGACAAATCCTGGCAACATAGTGGAATTGGAAGTAGAAGCCTCGGAAGGTTATCTATCAAGTATCAAAATTACAAAGTACAAAATTCTCGTCGTCAAAGGCTCCGTGTACAAATTCTGCTGTTTGACAGCGGAAAGCCGTTAGTCTAGCACTAGCAGCGCTCGACGATGAGAACATTGTCTATCAAATCTATATGAATGTCTTACCGCTTTGAGTTTTCTACTTCTGAAACTGTTCAGAGTGAACGGGATAATTTCTGTAGCTGCCATGTAGGAACACTAAGATATTCGGTTTTCACGAACTGTCAAATGTCAGCACCATCTGATAGGACCTACTAGTGATGGCAGCTGTGCCACTATGTCGTGTGAATTGTGAAATCTTCTCAATCTCACAACCATAAATACTTCAGAAACATATAGCAAAAGGTAGCCTACCTCCAAATGTACAGACTGTGGTGATTCTTCCGATATATATCCTCTGTTTAGCTGATTGCACCAGAAAAAATATTGGGTTATAGTTGTGCAACACTTATTTTCATGGGCGCTGCCATTTTGAAAATGCCACATACGATATGTTGTGAGGGTAAGAACTAAATATCTTAGTCACAGCAGGTTATAACTTGCTTCTGATCAAACGCCATGCAATTTATTATATGAAACCTGTAATATTGTAAGACCAGGCTATATTACTTTAGGAACACGTGCTTTAGCGACAACCGAAAATATAGTAAACAATGGGTTTATTTAAAATATAAACTCATATACGAAAGCAATATAGGTAACATTATCTGTATTGTGTTTACTTGGAAAACCTCGATAATGGTTTCACGTAGAAGGGCAAATTAGCACAAAAGGTTATGATTTCTCAGTAAATACACAAACTTCAATCGTTTTGTGTGATGGAAAGCGTTCTTAATTCGTCAAATGTATGTTTTAGATATAACCGCAATATCAGTCCACTGAATTTAACCAAGCAGACATCTCGAATACCTACCCACCTTATCATCAGATGAATGTCCACTAATCATGCGAAACTTGATAAGATCGAAAAGCGTTTATTCATTTTTGAAAGTTCTGGTGAGATCAGAGGCGAACAGATCAACGGCAACGTTAAATCAGAAGGCACAAGGTCTACACATTTCATTCAGCAGACTGAGGTATACAGGGCTACTAGTTGTTGCATTAAGTGTTAAGAGGTCGCCTTCTGCCTAAGCAATTTCGGCTGACCTGTCCCTCTTTGGGACTCCTGTGTGTGAGTAGGGTACACATATCTATTGTGAGTTTGGTATTCACATAATTTCTGTTTTTGTTTTGATGTGATTTCTATTTTCTCATATTGATATGATTTCATTTTTATCCTTGATTTGTGAAATATCTCTGTGCTTTACGCATATTGCTCCGTCATCAGCGAATTAAGAAGTTTGGGTAGGAGAAAACAGTACTAGACCTATAGCACACTTATGTAGCTTCTAATTTAGGCTATCGAATAATATAAAATTGGTGAAACCTAACGCTGAAGACAACATGAGATGGAGGGTGAGAAGTTAGTGTGCTTTCCTGTAGGCACAGGACTGACACACTATCATTTTATGATAATGCAAAATATTTGCCAGCAGACGTAGGCGCTGAAGATCGCCTTAATTTTTTAACCATTTTCCCCAATACAGGTAATATTAATATTTGTAAAAAACATTTCGTCATCTGATCTAGTTAAGAAAGAGAGAAGATGTCAGCCTTTTTCTTATTTTATATTCTCTCCTCTGACATTAAAAACAATAATCTGTGATCCACCAAATGAAAAAATAATGGCCTCAGAATACAATGATTAGTGATTGACTGCCCGATAGACATCCTGATCAATGCAATGTAACTCGTTCTTACATAGCCTGTGATATTACTAATGCAAATTTAACCAATATGTCATACAATTAAAGTACTCACTATGAACGCAACATGTGGGTGTACGTAAATTAGATTCATCTTCAGTTTATTACTGACCCTGCTGTTCCTTGCTAACCACATGTACATGACGTGTCATCTGTTGTGGAGGTATTTCATTATTTCTTGTCTATGAACATTGTAAGCGACCTGGCTACCATGGCTACATGATCATGATGATATAGATGTCTGGCATATGGAGGAGGCATTTGTTGTCCAGGGATCCATTCACCCGCCAGCTGTAAAATATCGTACATGTATGTAGTATTGTTGTCTTGTACAGTTATGTTGAAGTGTCCTAATAGGGGCTGAATTCATGACCACATTGACTGTACATTGTTATGAGACCTATAAAATATTGTCTGGTTCTGATTGTATTTTAGCTTAAATAAGAAGGCTTTCTTTTTTCACATTTAAAAATAAAATAAAAGCATGCTAAAATTACTGTAGATTCAAGTACCGGTAAGTTGGTGAATGAGGTATTTATGACAAATACTTCCAGTTCTTTGGTGTCAGCAATAGTTATTTCATATTAAGTGTCTTTTCTAATTGGATAAAAATCCTGGACCAATTTACTATGATAGCCTTGTTTCAAGCATCATTGAAATGGCATAATGCTAAAATAGCCACCCAATCAAATTACTCGCATAAGCATGAGAAATTCTCTGGTAAGTTACCATGGTTACAGACAGGAGTGATGGAGCTGGTGAAGTCATTTCAAAACGCAGCTATAGGTCCAGGGTATATATCCTTATAGAATGGAGATATATTACCCTGGATAATCAAGGATGCTAGTATCTAGATTCTTGGAGACTATAAATGGTCCTTTAAAACTTTCAATAGTCTCTCTAGTAATCATGCTAACAGATGAGTAGATCGTACTTCTTGTAATCCTGACTGGTTGGCTAGGAGTCAGTGATCTAGCTCTATAAAACCGGCCTTAGTGCTATCTGGTACAAGCAGACACACACATGCACATTGCTATATACATGATATCAGTGCAATGATCTTGAATGCAACGCTAAACCTCATTCACCTAACCTTGTTGGAATAAACAAATAGTTCATTTTGTATTGTGTTTCAAATATTTAATTTGCTAATTTAAAAAATGAATTGTTTCAAATTTGGGTTGCAGATATTTTGCACACGCCGCAGTAATGGCAAACAGTTGTCGTGAACTGGATGACACCCAGATCAAGTTGCTACAAGAAGAATGCATCCTTGTGGATAGGAATGATAAAAATATTGGCTCAGCCTCCAAGAAAAAATGTCACCTGCTAAAGAATATTGATGAAGGTAGGTGGTTAAGGTACTGGGTGTTGAATGAGTCAAGCCGAACATGTTGAGTGCGGGAGTCTAGTTCATCTAGCACCATCTACTTCACAGCTCATTTCAGACCGATGGTGTATATAGAATAATTGGATACGGAAGAAAACAACTTGACCATCTAGATTTTCACTTGTCTCCGACTAACAGACTGGTGGCTGTGTCTAACCCTGATACCCAGTGGTTGGTGTGTTTGCTTACAGACAATCTCCCTGGTTTTATTCCCAATAGCTCATTTGGGTCTTCTTGTCATTGACATGATGATCTCCCTGACGTTTGATGTTCTCTGTATGTATTTGGAAAAGATTGGGTTCACATGGTACAGGGCTATGGTTCGTTATGGATAGTTCAAAAGAACAGCTCCTTAGACATGTTTCAAAAATATGTATACCGTATTCAACGTAATAAGCGCCCAGGGCGCTTTCAAAATTAGAAATAGGGGGCTCTTATTAGAATATTATTTTGGTAAAAGAAAAACAGAGTTGAAAGGTAAATTTCATGGTTTATGCTGACAGCCTGAAATGTTTATATACGACATATATATTTTTCCAGAATTTAATTGCCCATAATCAAGGGTGCATATAACACATGAGTGCGTATTATACGCGAACAAATAATTCTTGTCTACATTGATCAATCGGAAGGGGTGCTAATTGGGATTGTTCACTAGCCAATATATTAGCAAATATCACCGTGGGCGCTTATTAGAGCACAGCGCTTATTACGTCAGTATATGTTTCGACAAACATTAATATTAGTTCTCCTTTAATACTATCTTTATCTGTACAGATATGCCCTTTTCTTACCACAGTGATATGGTTGGACATAGATTTAGCTTGATTTAGCTAGATCTGCCAAGAAGCTAATATTTGGCCCCAAGTCTTAAGCAATTATCAATAAAAAGTTCCCAAATTGGAATAAAAAATTGTAAAGATGTGTTACTATGGTAATAACTAAATGGAAGGGGTTTGCAGAGGTGACTTGCATTTCAGTTTTCACTGACAACAGGACCAGTATACAAAGAGAGGCTTTAATGTTCAGTTTTACATTTTTGCATTAAACAGAATATTAATATACCCCTGAATTTTAACAAAATAAAGACTTGTAAGAAAGTCTCAATTTTGAACAAGATCATGTTTTTCCCCATTTCGTCTGCTGAGGCAACTTAGTTTGGAATCCTGGATAAATCCCTGTAGACATCTGTGTAACGCCATATCTTCTTGATGGCAAGACATCACTATGGCGAGACTCTTGCTTTTGAGTGCCGTAATGACACAGTGTATGGGTTGGGGGCACGGGTGGCCCAGTCGTCTAAGGCGCCGCGATTCGCTGTGCAGAGTTGCGTCCCTTGGGCACGCCAGAAACCTATGATTGTGGGTTCGAATCCCGGTTCGCCCCGATTATGTTTCTAGGTTTGTCAGCACCATACCCGTGCTCGTGGGTTTCACCGAAGTGGTAAACGTCTTAGACCTGCATCACTTCGGGCTTTCCTCCCACATTAAGCTGACACGCTGTGATATAACTGGAATAATGTTAAAAGCGGCGTTAAACCAAACTCAGACAGAGAGAGAGTGTATGGGTTCGTTCACACCCTTCGGGTAAATGTTCTGACCACATTCCATGAGCTTGTTAAATCTCCGTCTAAATCATCATCAACAACAAGCACATGCCAACATGACTTATTGGCCTTTCATTAGTCTGTCTCCCAGACTCCAGAGTAGAAAGAAAATAAAATTAACTCAAGTCGAGAATGATTTGGCATGTCTAGATTGCCTCAGGATTGTTCTGGTTTCCATTTGGATTTTTATTTTTTTATTTTGTAGATCATTTTTTTTAATAAGGTAACTTTATTTTTAAATGAGATAACTTTATTTCTGGGAGTAATTGTCAGTCTAGACTTTTGTGTCAATACTGCTGTAACAAATGCGATACCTGTCTGCCTCAAGATGTGAGGACCAGAAAGTGTCAGGGGAACCCATGAGCCAATCAGATGTCAGCTTTCTAAGACAATTTGGCTTGATTTTATTTAACGCCTTTCTCTGACTTTAACCCTTTTGGGTGTAGATACCCTTGCACTCACAAATGACAGGATGTTAAAATGTTTCCATTACAGTATCATGATAATACTGCAGCATTCTTTTTTCACATTTGGATTTCCTTTATTTTCAAGATGCTTAAATCAGATCTGGTGTGAATGTTTTAACAAGTTGTAGAAGCCACGATGCTGATTGGCTGATTAGAATGTCCACCTGACGGGACTTCTCTTGGATGTGTCATCAAGTCTTTACACAGTGTGGTACTGTATCGGAGTAAAAGATCTGATTTTATGTAAGTAATAATCCTCTGATTCCAGGTATGCTGCATCGAGCATTCAGCGTGTTTCTCTTCAATAAGGAGGGCGAACTTCTGATCCAACAGAGATCGGATGCTAAGATTACGTTTCCAGGTAGGTGTCTTTACTCTGTACATGTGTCTGCAGAGCACCAGATAAGCTGTGTATCTGCGTAAAATACGCATCAGAAATGCAGAAATACGCAGTAAAATAAAATCCAAGCGTATCAAATACGCAACGAACATTACAGATACGCTACAAAAATAAAACTTGAGCGTATCATCAAAATATTGTGAAGTATCCCTGCGTATTCGATTAGCAAATCAGCAACATTTTTTGAAATTATAAACGGGCATTCCGTCAACCTTGCCCAACTCCACGATGACAGTTACATCATGATCATTTGCCATCACATTTTCTTGTGGAAGTATTGTGGTATTTTTTAGTCCTATAAAGCTCTCGAACCCACATGACACCAGTTTGCAGGGACTAGATGAATAGTTTTTTTAAATATTTAACTTAAATGCCCACATGTGTAAAAACTAGTGGGTAACAGAAATTTGAATACCCAGATAGAATTACTGATACCCAATGATTTTAAAATGCATGGGTAAAATACCCACAACACCAAAAGCTTATCTGGAGCTCTGTGTCTGTATATCAGTATGGGAGCACACAGGTCCAGTCATCTAAAGTGCCACAATTTGCTTTGGAGTTTTTAATGTTTATCGATTTGTGCTGATGTGTTTGACATCAGAAGACACTCAGGAGAGATTCTTTTTATATACAGTTATTTATCTTACCATCTTCACTGTCTCACATTACTTGACACACACTGACGTGTTGATTCTTATGAGAATCAATCTTTTACTCAGATATGATACCCCTCTGCAAGATCGGAGGCCATCTCCATGAAAGTTTCTAATCAGCCAATCAGCGTCAAGGCTTCTAAATTTTTAGTTCGAGTGAGCAAAGCATTCATACAAGCATATCTGATTTTTCTATCTCAGAAACGAATATGATCATGGAGATCCATTTGGAAAATAATAAAGCTCACTAATATATTGTGGATATTTCATTCATTTTGCCCTCAAAAGGGTGTACAATGTAGGGTGGTGTATATTTGTGTTCTGGGGGGTTTCAGTTGGCAGAGATCTGAAATTCCAAATAAGGGCAGTGAAGAAATAAAGCCGGATTGTTTTCGAAAGCTGACATCTGATTGGCTCAAGAACTCTCTCATCCTTCATTTTGATTGAGCATTTAAAGTTTTTTTGAAGTTCAACTGACAACCTTGACAGTGTCCTAAGATCTTCATGCTTAGGGAGATTTATCAGACTAAAGATCTGATTTTGATGAGCTGGAGAAATACTGTTTAACGTGGTGTTGAGTACAACTTCCTCACTCCCTCCAGGTCACTGGACCAACACATGCTGCAGCCACCCCCTGAATGTGACGGGGGAGTTGGAGGAGGCGGCTGCTGTTGGAGTCCGCAGAGCCGCACAGCGGAAACTCAAACATGAACTTGGCATTGAGCCAGAACAGGTGAAAAAACATTAATAAAATCAGGTCTGACATTTCAGCACCAACCCTTTGGCCTACTGTGCATGGAAGTTGACCTCCCGCATGCGTGTATACTCTAGAACAGTAGTCATGCCTAACTAAATCTTTTGATGATCATCATTTCAATAAAGAAAACATTTTTATTAACACTTTTTTGGCTAACAAAAACAAATTGTTTCCCAAATTTTCTCAATTTGTTTTCATATTTCAAGTGCGCCTTCTTCAAAAAACTGTATCTGCGGTTGAAGGGGGACCTTCCAAGTTTGATTCTAGTCATTCAAAAACCTGTTTGTTTTTTACCTTGTACTCAACTTTATGATATATATCATTCAAACAGTTAATCAGTACACAGAGAAGATGTCCCTGGTTGCTGCAAGTCACTCATTGCAGCTTGTAGACTCAAATTAAAAATGGGCCGAGGGATTGGTCACAATGTGTGAAGCCATGTGAGTGATATCTCTGGATTAATGCAAAAAGCAGCAACCTAACCAACTCACTCACTCATAATATGTTATGATCATGTTGAAAGTCGACTTCCAGAAATAAATTTCCCCTCTGCTTTTGAAAATGAAATGTGCCTTGCTACTGAGAAAGAATTATGATCCTGTAATTTTACTTATTTATCAAAGCTTCTTGTCTGTTCTTGCAGGTGCCTGTTGACGGCTTCCACTACCTGACAAGAATTCACTACCGCTCCAACAACGTGCCTGACGACAAGACGTGGGGGGAGCACGAGATCGACTACATCCTGTTGTCACAGAGAGATGTAGACCTAGTTCCTAATGAGAATGAAGTAAAGGACTACAAGTTTGTCAGTAGAAAGGACTTGAAAGATTTATTAGGTTTGTCATCACCTTTGTTCTTAAGTTCCATTTGGAATATTAGCCGGTCTCACTGGTTCTGGTTCTTTTAATAATAACTGGATTTGAACACCAGAGTTGAAAATTTCAGTATTGTCTCAAGTATTCAAAATGTACCCATGAATTTTCAGCATTTTAGTTGATTATAAATGCTTTGAGATTATTTTTATCAGGAAAACAATTTTATTTGTCCATCGCATCTTGCAATTCTGATTTATTTTTCTTTAAATTTTCGATTTTTGGGGTCAGTTGATTCTAAAACCAAATAAAATAATGTTTGGCCAAAGGAAGTGTATAAAAAGGGTTGAAGCGTGTCATCGTATCCCAATTGGGTGCATCAACGCTCATGATGTCAATCACTGGATTGTCTGGTCCATACTCGATTATTTACAGACTGCCATAATATAGCTGGAACATTGCTGAGTGCGGCGTTAAACAACAAACAAACAAACAAACCAGACTGTAAGGGGCAGTGGGATAGCCTACTGGTTAAAGCGTTCACTTGCCACTCCGTACCCCACATGGTTCAATATGTAAAGATCGTTTAAGGTGACCCCATTGTGATATTGCTTGAATGCTGCTTAAATTACTCACTCACTGACTGTGTGAACTTTCAGAGACAGCTGATGCGGAAGGTATTCTTCTCACTCCCTGGTTTCGCCTTGTGGCAAACACATTCCTGTTTGGCTGGTGGGATCACCTGGACAATGTTGACCAAGACAATGACCACTCCACAATACACCGCATGTGACCACCATGTAGTCGCTGACGAAGTCGGCGATGTAACCACCGATGTTGCCACCGATGCCGAATATTGTCACCATTGTCAATACTTCATGAGTTTGTAGACACAACATTCCTCCATCCATGTGAATACCATCTTCCCGATGCAAGGGAGATAACTGACTATAAAAGTCCAGTTTCCCCCCTTGCCGGACTCAGCTGGGATTTCGGAGTTCTATTTTGGCTGGACTAACGAGTCTATACACAGTCCAATCAAAATTGTGTAACGAAATTGGCATCCGGTTCGTAAACTGCAGTGCAGATATCGGTTGATTGCTGGATTTGCAAAGCAGTGTACAGCCAGCTTGGCGTTGAAAGATACTTTCAAAATCTTTCCATGTTTCTAATCAAGGTGCTCAAGTAATTTGTTGCTCTTCACGAGGTTAGGCCCATTTTATTACAATATAGATCTTGATTATCAATCAGATCATCTTGACTACATGCAGCCATTTTGTTTGAAACAAATGCAAGTAATATGATCGGTGGAATCTGATTGGTCAAAAGGAGGGACATAGACGGGATATGACTCGTAATAGCCACTGTGGTACTACGATTGAGTCACAATATTCCAGCCTTGTTCGGCAAGGGTGGAAACTGGACTTTTAGTCAGTGAACTCCCTTGCCTTGGGAAGATGTATGAATACATCTACTATGCTGTGTAGCAGGAGTGTATCAATATATCGAACTATCAATGTATAGCAGTTCTGGCCCTACAATTGTACTGTATCAATAGGAATTTAAAATTACCACAATTGGAACTATCACTTGATATGCATACAGTTGACAATACTATCAGCATTTTTACATACGATATATATTGTACCACTGTTACGATATAACACGTAAATTATGCGTCAGAAAGCTCAGTTTCGAACCTACTGTGTTGATTAGCAAGGATAATGACCACTTCAGATTAGAGTTACTTCCCTTTGGTTTGTAAAGTACTGATCAAAGCAATATAACACGTCGCTTAACTGACATTTTTTTATCCCTACTGGTAACAAGACAAGTGCTGCCATTTGTAGTCTAAATCTTATTGAAGTCATTTTATGGGTATTTATTGATTGATATGTTGTATATCATGGTATATTTATTAATATATTAAATGTACTGCATTTATTCTGTTTGTCTTTTTATTTCAAACATTCTTGAAGAAGATACAATAGAGTGCCTGTTCGTAATGATGATTAATATTTCAAGTCATCTAAGGTGCCGCAATTTGCTGATTATTATTTTACTTGGTTTGTCAGCACCATACCCGTGCTTATTATGCCTCAAAGTTAGTTTGACCAATCAGAGAGCAGAACTACTAATCCCAAATGAGCATGAATACCATCAGTAAAATTCCAAGATGGTTGTTAGAGACCTAATATGAGACCATGTAGAGTTAGTAGCAGCCATTTTGGATTTTCAAACACCCACCTCACAATTTTCACATGAGAATTTTCTGGTACAGTAATGCATTTTGTGTTTTGTGTTTTAATACCATTAATTTTGATGTGCAAGGATGTAAATGTTTTCTGGATCACGTTTGTGACTTTAATAAAGATTATATAAAGTTAAAATTATCAACAAGGTTTGGCCTCTGAGGTTTGAAGAGTAGTCTCCCTTTGACCCTTTATGTTTCAGGTTGTAGGTGTTAAGTTTTGAGTTTTAAGTTTTGACATGACATGTGCGACAAAGATACCAAATAGTGTAAACTTTTCTATTGTGTGTTTCACCAAAGTGGTAAAGTAAGGGTTATAAAATCTGCATCACCTTTCCACCCACGTCAACCTGACATATGACTCGAAGCATGAAAGCAAGTCACTTACCCAAGGGGTGCGGGTTGCTGCAATGCGCTGTGAAGTGAGTGAGTGAGTTGGGTTTAACGCCGCTTTTAACAGTATTCCAGTTACCGGTATATCGTGGTGTGTCAGCTTAATGTGGGAGGAAAGCCCGAAGTGATGCAGGTCTCAGACGTTTACAACCTCGGTTAAACCCACGAGCACGGGTATGGTGCTGACAAACCTAGAAACATAATCGGGTCAAACCGGGATTCGACCCCACAATCATAGGTTTCTGGCGTGCCCAAGGGATGCAACTCTGCACATCGAATCGCGGCGCCTTAGACGACTGGGCCACCCGTGCCCCGTGCTGTGAAGAGTTGCGTCCCTTGGCACACCAGAAATGTATGATCGGGAGTCTGAATCCAGGTTGGCCCCATTTATTTTTCTGGATCTGTTGGCACTGTACCCGTGCTGGGTTTGATGGTAAATGTCAGACCTGCGTCACATCATGCCTTCCTACCAACTTAAGCTAACACACCGCGAAATAACTGGAAAACTGTTCAAGCCAGTGTTAAATCCAACTCACTCACAATTAACTTGACATATAACAAAGAAAATGAAACTTCGAAAGAGTACACATAATGTCTTGTAAAAAATCAAAGAACGGCCTTAATGATGCTACATGAGTGATAAAGAAGGCTCCTACACAATGTACGTTTGTTGAAGGTGGATAACCTCAAGACAATTCAAACCCTTTCATCCACGACATTAATAAAAGAGGGTGCTCGGCTCAGTCAAATTTGTAGTCTCTTTAAATTTGATAAATGTCCCACAAACATAATTGCATGTGCCTGCTACATTTTAGTTGAAATGTTATGTACAAATATATCAATGTAGTAGTTAATGTTCAACACAATTACACTGCCAGAATCGCTCTGTTTCACCATGAGATTAATTCTTAAATATAGAACAAGACAACACATGGGCACCAGGCCTTTGAGAGCACACACACCCTTTAAATCACTGTATCATCCCGGGACAACATTAATGAATCAATGACTGTTTTAGCAATCATGTTTCTATGATACAATTTACAGAATTATCATCTTCGTGAACTGGAGCCAGTGAATTCCACAGAAACATTCATCATTAGAAACTATCATGGACAACTCAAAGTGGAATTGCACAAAAATATATTTATTCAGAACAAGAAGGAAATGTGCTTGAAATAGTCCATTTCCTTGAGAAGTACACCTGCTTTTAGTTGTCCGTTAGCCAGGTGTTTCTAAGGAGTATGTCCTGAGAACTGAAGGTGCTTGAAATAGTCAGTTAGCCAGGAGTGTTTCCTGAGAACTGCAGGTGCTTGAAATATTCTGTAAGCCAGGTGGTTCTAAGGAGTCTTTCATGATAACTGCAGGTGCTTGAAATAGTCCGTTAGTCAGGTGGTTCTAAGGAGTGTTTCTTGAGAACTGCAAGTGCTTGAAATAGTCTGTAGGCCAGGTGTTCCTTGAAGGTGAATGCGTGTTTCCCCGAGGACTGCAGGTGCTTGTTGAAATAGTGTGTAAAGGTAAAGGGGTGTTTCCTGATGAGGTGGGAGCACCTGGAAGGCCCATGTAGAACACGGATGATCCCTGATGACCATCAGTCATGGTAGAGGAATACTCGGTCTGTCATACACGTGACCACTTTTCACTCTTCATGCACATCCAGACTTCCTGTAGCGCTGGTTCTCACCCTAGAATTCAACCTTTCATTTGGATGAAGCTTGACACTGGAAGAAACATGATGTCTCTGTTGAGTTTCGTTCAGTCCAGTGAACGAGTACTGGTTTACGCCGCTTTTAGCAATTTTCCAGCTACATCGGAGTATCAAGGAGGAACACATTGTGCCTGTGTATTGGAACCCGGGTCTTCAGCGTGATGAGCGAACGCTTTAACCACTAGGCTACCTTATCCCTGTGGTCGTTTGACCCTTGTAACCAAAGCATTGGTATAAGACTCCGAATGCAGTGTCTTTCACCAGCTGTATCTGTACTGCAAAACTACAGATCGTCATCATCTTCGGGGAGCACCATGTTTGTTGCATCCTCCAGTTCCTTTTCCATCCTGGCCAGAGTTTCCTTGTCGATGCTGATCTCCGGTGGGGGATGACAGGGCCCAGACACAAATTCCAGCTTTGAGTCTCCCACCAGTTTCCTCAACAGGCTGAGGAACGGCTTCTCGATGTTGTAGTTGCTCTTTGCGCTGATGTCGCAATACATCAAGTTCTTCTTGCGATGGAATTTGATGATTCTTGATCGGACTTTGCGTTCGCGGACATCGACCTTATTGCCGCACAGCATTATGGGTATTTTGCCGCAGACTCTGTCAAGATCTCTCCACCAATCAGGAATGTGTTGGTAGGTTGTCATGGCAGTCACGTCGAACATGATGATACCACACTCGGCCTGTGGAAGATGTGAAGGAAATCAGCATTAGTTCAAACATTCCAGCTATATCGCAGCAAATAATCGAACCTGGACTAGAAAAAACAGCGGTTGATAGCATGAGCAACAAGTCACTGTTGTGGTAGAAAGGCATAGTCAACCTACATTGTTACCACCTGATTCCCATTCTAGACATGTTTGGGGTGCTGGGCCCCGTTCCTCAAAGCGATCTTAGCGCTACGATGATCGTAAACCTATGTTAGAGTATGGGACTTACGATCACCTTAGTGCTAAGATCGCTTTGTGGAACGGGGCCTTGACCATTGTAATATTCGTCATATAGCAGTGTGCCTCATATATCAAATCCCAAGAGACTTTAAACATCAGTCTGTAACCCCTGAAGATTCGTGTTATAATAGGTCTTCATCCACCCATGCTTGCCTTATAGGCGACTATGCTTGTCGTAAGGGGCGACTAGGGGGATCGGGTGGTCAGGCTTGCTGACTTAGTTGATGCATGTCATCGTATCCAAGTTGCCTAGATTGTTGTTCATGATGTCAGTCACAGGCTTGTCTGGTCCAGACTAGATTATTTACAGACCGCCGTCATTTAGCTGGAATATTGCAAAACGATTTCAAGAAATTCCCCTTCATATGTTTTACTACAGCTGGTGACTTGTGAAGACCCGGGGTAGAATAGGTCTTCAGCAACCCATGCTTGCCATAAAAGGCGACTAGCTTGTGGTAAGAGGCAACTAACGGGATCGGGTGGTCAGGCTCGCCGACTTGGTTGATACATGTCATTGTATCCCAAATGCGTGGATCCATGCTCATGATGTCGATTATTGCTGGAATATTGCTGAGTGCGACATTAAACAACAAACACAGAAAATACAGCTGGTAGGTTACAATGTGGTATGTATTTGCCAATATCTCCCTAGCAGACTGGGACCTTGTTATATCTGAAAACACACACACACACACACACACACACACACACACATTAAACTCCATTTCATCTCACAACTAAATGCATCACTTCGGGTTTTCCTCCCACATCAAGCTGACATGCCGTGATAAAACCGAAATACTATTTAAAACCCAACAATCACTCACTCACCCACTTACTCACTCACCCCGATGTAGTAGCCGTCACGGAGGACGCCGAAGTTCTCCTGTCCTGCTGTGTCCCACAGATTGAACCTCACAGGGCCGCGGTTTGTGTGGAACAGGAGGGAGTGTACCTCAGCTCCCATTGTCGCTATGTACTTCCTCTCAAACTCACCCGTCAGGTGGCGCTGCCAATAAAGATAGTAATTAAGATAAGCCAAATAATGACAATAAGAGGCATATTTAACTTGGAACCGACAGTCGTAATATGTCGAGATTGCTTCTTGCACAGGACCATATAACTTATAATAAAAGTTTGTTGTTATTATTATTACTTGCATGGTCCTGTGCATCGTGGAGCGAAGTCTAGAAAAGGATGCCGGGAACCAATTCTTACTCGATTGTCTGGTCCAGGCTCGTTTATTTACAGACGCCGTCATACAGCTGTAATATTGTTGAGTGTGGCGTTAAACAACAAGCAAACACGAAAGTTCGAAATATCCCCACACACCAGGAAGCGAAGACAATTATTGTTTGTTACAAATACACTTACAAAATACGTACATTATCATATTTAATATCTAATCACATGCATAGGGCGTCTTTGTAAGAATTACTCATATGTGTCAATTGTACTCAATTTTTAATGGAAATATTCTTGACGCGATTGATTGCTTGGCTATTTTGTCATATGACTAGTAATCAATATTACCATGGAACTGGCACATTTCCAGTCTCTTTCAAATCCGATATGAACCCTTTCCAAAATATGATCGTACCTCCATACTTTAACACTAACAAGATCGGTTTGCGTAAGGGGGCACATTTGTAATGTTACTGACAAATTTGCAGCTTCATTTCAATTTGAAAATATAAAAGTAATAAACATGTCAGTACACGAGTACTAGTACTAATACTAGTTCCAGTACTCCCATCGCAAGTTCAGATCCCATGCCGCAGTTTTACATGAATACCCCACTCAGACACAGTATACGGACTCCGAGCCGACCAGTCCTTGTTTTAGCCCTTAATGCCGAGAGCCAGACATTGTAACAACAAGTACCATCTTTTAATATCTTTTGGAATGACGCGGGCGGGGATCGAACCCCGGACCTTTGTTCTCCGGGCGGATCCCTACCACTAGACCACTGTGACTCTAGCACATATGATATATGATCGGGTCAAATTACTGTTACACATCGAGTCATTCAAACAGCACCTTCTCCTAATCTAGCCGAGCTTCTATTATCAAGATTAATAAAGAAATATATTAATTTATCATAGTGTTATCAATGCGACAAAGCAATCCGATAAATATGCAAATGATGTCACCTAGCAGGAAATAACTTCAAGCCTATACATCGATGCAATGTCTACTTGCTCACTAAACCATTGGCTGACGCTCACGTTACGTCAAGACTGGGGATTCGCCGATGTGTGGGTGATTCTGTGTACAAACATGGCTTAAAATCATTCAGCACTAAGTGAAATGGGCTGGTTCACCCAAACGTATACTTACGCGGTTTCTAAAATAGCTTTAGAAAAAAAATCATATCATTAAGAGATTATAACCCTGGTGTGTTTTTGTATCGTAATATCACATAACGGGTATAAACATATGTATTTACAAATTGTATTCCTCGCAATATTAGACGCGACGGGGTAGCTTCGTGGTTAAAGCGTTCGCTTGTCGCACCGAAGACCCGGGTTCGATTCCCGACATGGGTACAATGTGTGAAGCCCATTTCTGGTGTCCCCCGCCGTAATATTGCTGGAATATTGCTAAAAGCAGCGTAAACCTTTACTCACTCACTCACTCTTCGCAATATTATTATCTTACGAAAACACTCTCGGCCTCTCTCTATATGCCTTGATTTCCTTGAGACATGATCATAATTTCACTTTTCATACACGGCAACAAGTACAACCACTATATATACCGCATGCTGCAATATTGCTGGGATATTGCTGAAAGCGGCGTAAAACCATACTCACTCACTTTATATGCATCACACATGTACACCAGACAGATTATCCTTTGAACGCTGCTAAAGAGGCATTGGACTCGGTGTTTCAATTAATTCGTTTTTTTGTATAGTTTTCTAAACAGAGAGAGAGTACTGGGGGGTGGGGGGGGGACTAGATGCTTTATCCTATGCATCAGAGGCTAAACTCAGACAAACGCTTAGTCTCTGAAAATATATGATTTGGATATTAAGATGGGAGATCCAGGACCCTTGGGGAATCTAGACTTGCTTCCTTTAGGGCTATAGAATAACAGTAAGGGCTGGGTCAACCTGAAAGTAATATGGTCCAGGGACTGTGAGACTGGCTAAGGCTGAACTATATACCTGGTGAATACTCGCGAATAACATTTGATCTACTAATCACGTTATTCTATTAGCACTATATGCATATAATGATGTTATAGTATGGAATAATATGTACACTTGATAGGAAATCGTTTAAACAGAAACGATGGATATGCTTTGATAGATACCTTTTCTAATATTTTAATATTTAACTAACTCAATATTAACTATTTGACAACGTATGTCTAGACATTAACACATACTATACTAACGTATATTTTATTTTAAATGTAAACGATCGTGAACGAACGATGTTTATATTGGTTACTAGCAAACAAGGCAAATAAATGTATAGTATTAATCACATTATTATCTATAGATGGTTCCCTCAATAGACAAAAAAGGAATGAGTCTTTAATAATTGTAAAAGATATGGAATTATTCTTTACCTTGCAAAAAGTCGTTTTGCCCACTGACCCATCTCCGATCAAAACTAACTTAAACGTTGGAATTGATCTGTCCATCTTAGGTAAATTTCTATGAGCGTCGGACAGAGATTTGACGTTTGGTTACCACCAAATCACCACTGTGAAATACGCAGTAAAAGCCGTGCGTTATATACAAGAGAACCGGTTCATGTCTGCCCAAGTCTGTCTAAACCGATCGTGGCTGCTTCGAACGAGACAGAACTACCCGCGTTCAACTCACTGCAAATATTTCTACATCAATACTGTGCAAGTACAATTGATCGTTATGAAGTCATTCTTTGAATAAAATGATTTAAGCTTTTCTAGAATATTTCATAAAGTAAATAATGTCTTACCACCATCGATATGCATACATATCACCTGTCAGTAATTATATTTGGCTCAACTAATTTATCACTTTACACATGTTGTGTATATATAGTATAACAATCAATATCATATGTACCCGGTTAAATGAAACGGCGAAACTTCTAATAAATGTGAGAGAAATTGTTTTCCCATTTTCTCAAATTTGTTTAGAAAACAACGCTAGTGTTGACATTCATTGGATATTGCACAACAGCGTGAAATGCTATATTGGAAGCCAGCCAACTGTTTCATTCATGCGTCGCAAGCCTTTGGTGATACGCCCATTAGAGTTATCTCCCTTTATTGATCAATTGTCCTTATGTGAATAATATTTGACGATAATAGTCGATTTGTTTGGTTACCGCTTGGATAGAATGTTGGTCTTTTGTTGAGTTAATATGTTAGTGATTCGAATAATAACTACAAAATTGGTGTTCTCGTGTGTCTTGTTTCATTATTTTGCGATGACAGTTTTCGATAAATCCAGAGGCTGTTGTGTAGAAAACACTTTTTTCAATCTGGAAGAGTCGTTTTCTTCTACCCAGAGGCTGTTTGCTATGATTGAAGTCGATAAAGCGATGTTTCCCCTCTCGGCCTCCATATTATTGAGACAATGGTAATGATGTTTTTAATTTGTTTGTAAAAGAAAAACAATCTTATTTCTCGTTTCTCATAACAATTAGTCCAAATAAGCAAAAACAAAAGAGACACAATGGTTTAATTCAGGTCAAAGAAAAAGCTAACATTCTTTCGACTACAGCAAGAGCATGAGACGGGCACCTGCGTGAGACATGGCTGGTGACATGCTATCGATACTTCCTTGGTTAAACCGTGTCAGCCTCATGTGGAATGCGCGGCTTGTAACACGGGCATTTGATATACATCTACAGGTGGGAAGAATATATAGAAGCTATTTGTGCGTCATCGATGGAGAGTGACCTGCAAGGTTGATAGTTTCATGAGTGTGTGTGTGTGTGTGTGAGAGAGAGAGAGAGAGAGAGGGAGAGAGAGAGAGTATCGACACTTTGCCAGCAGGTGTATCGATAGCAGGTGCTTGCCAGCGTTGTATCTTTACATCAGGGAGATTTGTCTTAGGAATGTATCCTACTTTGCCGACTCCCCATATTATGTAACATTCACCCTACCCACCCCACCCCCACTCCCGACACACCTGTCCCTCTCGTAGATGACCAGTAAAAAAATGTGTATATAGTATTTTAAAAAATGTCAAATAGAACTGTATACTGTTGATAAATTGTGGTGACCCTCTCTTTAGCTGTCATTTTTTCGCCCCACTCCCACCCTATCATAAATGACCAGTCCCTTATGTCCATTCTGTTAAACAGAAAGGGATACAAATATACTGTGGGTCATAGAAACTAGCATTGACGTCCTACACATACATGTCCTAATAATAGCCACAGACACAGATGCCTGATACTGGAAAACTCATAGCCTGTATAACATGCACTAAAGATACAAGTCTTCATTTTCACGGCCAACCATAGCTTTGAGAATAATATTATTAATCTAAACATTGAACGTGAAAATTATATTTGTTAGCTTATATGAATACATTTGTGCATGATTTACATATATATTCACAATAAATAGACGTGTCCATGGCAAAAGAATAATAAACAATGATAACAATGTAAAGATACAACGCTGGCAAGCATCTGCTATCGATACACCTGCTGGCAAAGTGTCGATACTTACCTGGCTAAACGATCTGAGCAACATGTGGTATGTACCGCTTGTGCGCATGAGATAGCATCTCTTCTATAGCCCTAAAGGAAGCAAGTCTAGATTCCCCAAGGGCTCTGGATCTCCCATCTTAATAGAGCTCCTTTTTACATTTAAATGGAGCTCTCTCTCTCTCTCTCACTCTCTCTCTCTCTCTCTCTCTCCAAATATCATTAAAGAGAATCATGCAGTCGCCTTTTTATATATAGGGTAGTTACGCAACTGAGCAGATTTTGTTCTATTATTTTATAGAAAACTTTGTTTGGTAACATTATTATAATCAGGAGAAAGTCTACATGCATCTTTACTTCTTTTGTTTTTACATCAAAACTCCTGTATACACTACCGGGCAAAGAAAGTATACACCTATGCATGTTTGATGGAGACTAAAACTGACACAAACATTTCACAAGAAATGGTGATGTATTTGATACGGGTATCTTAGTTGTGATCTGAACCTCAAGTTTCAGCCTATTTAGTAACGGTTTGATTACGTCTGTACGTTTTTGGCCACATCCAATTTCAAGCGTATACTTTCTTTTGCCCGGCAGTGTATACTTGATGAAAAAGTAAATAGTGTGGCGATGATGCGAGCTAAAACATGGGAAGTATTTCAACTTGCTTCACTGGTATATTTATACTTTTAAGGATTGTTATTAAGCAACTCCGATGGGATTCCAGGATATAGTAGGTCCCGAACAATCAATGCAAATAACAGGCGAATAAATGGTCCTGGAGGCCAGGCCCAGCAACTTGGTTGATAACGTGACATCGCACCCCGGGGGACCGTTGCTCATAATATCAATCACTGGATTGTCTGATCTAGACTCGATTATCTACAGGCCGCGGCCATACAGCTGGAATATTGCTGAATGCGGCGTAAAACAGCACACACACGCCAAACGCACGCGCTTATTAACCATGCCTTGTCCCTTAACTCTGTGTATTATTCTCTCTGTATTAACGACCATCTGAAGAATATTAATTTGTTGATTTGGGATTTATGGCCTATTTCCGATCTACCTGTAGGTCTGTACTCCGTTAATTCACGTGTGAACACCCTATATAACCAAGCGTTGCTTGTGTCTTCACACGCACTCTCCATATTATAGGGTCTCGTGCTGTGTGACCTGTGAATATACAGTTTATATGACAGTTGACATGGACACGACATTTAAGGAACGCCTCAAAACACACAAGCCGATTATTCAAGAAAGTACAGAGCTGACGTTATCACGCGTAAGTGTTATCAAGAAATATAACTTCCCACCTACAATGGTTCAATAAACTTGACAAAGAGCTTGTTTAATTTATAAAGAGTTGAGATCAATGTCCTCATTTCAGTCCCCCTTTTCATCTTTCATTTGATGCCCTTTGACTAAACGTACATGGCTGCCAAAATCTCATAAATCAGTTTACACAAGTTTGAGACGCCCCTCGCTTCAACCGAGTCGTTAAAACGCATGCTCGTATTGTGTCTAATTTGTTTCTAAATAAACACGTTCAAGTACACTCGACTTGGATTTGCTGTAGGAAAACAGAGCAAGTGAACAAACAGCTCGATTGTAGGCCTATTGTTCTGTTTCCGCATATGGGACACTGATTTCCTATGTCTAATAACCGTCACTGGGACACTGGCTATATGTATAAAAAACCGAGTCCTATAGATTTGGGTACGTGCCTCGTTTGTAAGGCTGTGTTTACACACCACTTCGTTAAATATCAGATGCCGTACGTCCCTTACGTCACGTTCTGTGTATCATTTGCCCGACAAACGCCTTATTTCCATACATCCGCGACCGCGACTTATTTCATACAAACTCAACGTTTTTAGCTGAGAGCTGAGTTTACAATCTGCTATATATGCATGATCAGCACTTTTTTTGGTTTGGACCCGTGGCACATTTTGACAGAGAGATATAATTCGTCTACAAATTCAGATCTCATACACATTAACGACCGTAAATCATGTTTCATTCTTCGCTTAACACAGCCACCTCAGCAAATAATGCCGATTTCGGCATCAATAAATGGCGTCACTGTATTTTCTATGCAGCAGGATTTTTCTTACTAATGTTGCATTTTGAGGAAAGAGGCTTGTGTGAGAGTTCCGTGGCTTGAAATACATGCATGATGCACGGCCTATTTCAAGTACGTGTCAACTTATTATACGGTAGACATTATCCCGATTTTCAATGACCGGCAACTATTCAAATAAGTGTAATCGTTCCTTGAAACTCACTTGCGGTTCCAGAGAAGGGGGTTACAAGGGGTGCGCACCTCACTTTTTTCAGACACCTTACATATAAACTGCGTCGTAGGTCAAGTTTTGTTTGTTTGTTGTTTAACGCCGCACTATTCCAGCTATATATGACGGCGGTCTGTAAATAATCGAGTCTCGACCAGACAATCCGGTGATTGATATCATGAGCATCGATCTACGCATTGGGATACGATGACATGCATCAACCAAGTCAGCAAGCCTGACCACCCGATCCCTCTGGTCAGCAAGCACGGGTTGCGCAGGACCTATTCTAACCCGGATCTTCACGGGTCGTGACTTCGTGACTAGAGTATTATGTGTGCGCCACCTTCTTCAAAATCCTGTATCCGCCTCTAAAAATTGATATTCTTATCTAAAAATCAGCTTACGTTTTTCAATTATTCTTATGCATTTTATAAATATAACAACATATCTAGCAACATTGCAATAAATATTTATTGAACATAAAGAAATGTTTTGTCATACTATGTCGCACCTGCTATGCAATATAATCTCATAACATTTTTCCCAGGCAATACGAAACACACAATTCGTTACATTGTTTGTATTATTCATGATAGAATGGCCGTGATTCAGCTGAACTACAAAATGCACAGTGTTGCTGAATCACAGCTGCCTGAGGAGGTCGTTATCAGTATTATCGATCTGCAAAAGACATTACACGTGGCATTTTCCAAGCGCCTGTCGTCTGCTACGAATATTTTAGAGTTATCGACCCTTGTCGTGACGTCATTGAGCATGGCGAACTTCTGAAAGTTTGTGACAGTTGTCCAAAACAAACTTATTATATTTCTATAACAGCAATAATGAGATTATTTTCACGTTACAAGAGGCTTAAGTTGAGGAGTATCGCTGTAATTGCAGTAGCGGCTATTGCATTATATTACATCTACAGCAACTGGTATGCGTTCACGAGTTGGGAGACGCCGGACGAATTATTCTCTCTTCGGAAAAAGCGATATGTGGAGTATCAGAACGGTGAACTTAAGCGGACTGGGCCGGGCGAATTAGGAGAAGGTGTTATGTTGGAAGGAGAAGAAAAAGCAAAAGCGGAAAAACTCATGACAAAAGAAGCGTTTAATATAGTTGCAAGCGATAAGATAGCCCTCGATAGGGGACTGAAGGATGTGAGAGACCCAGAGTAAGTAAACATTTAGCTCTACGATACTGCACCTACCGTATGCATTATAGTTTATGTCATTCCTAAACTGACATTTCACATGGTTGAATAACTTACACATTTTTTTATTAGATGTCATGTTGAAAGGACATGTTATAGCCAATGCATTGTTGACTGTCATACAACATCGATGTTTATGCACTACTGACTGACTGGCTTGTCTAGACAAGCATGCTGAAGACATAAACAAGTGCCCCTACTATCTTGGTCCAACAGGATCAATAACTGTACGCTGTCATTCCCCCACCAACGTTTGGGATGTAAATGATTGGAAACGTATGCTTTCCTGACACCCAAATTGATATTTCCTTATCTTAAGGTTTAACCTAAATATTAATTTTAAACTATCATGTAAATTAAAACATTTATGTTAAATAATGTAAATGAGGATTATTTAATTTATCATGGTAATGGATGTAAGAAATTATCCTTATTTAATAAAATGTATATTTTAACAAGAATATGCAGAAAAGTAGCAGGGTGTGGAGGAGGAGATAGGATACCAGCATCTAATCAAAGTTGAGAATTGACCAGGTTTCATATAATACTTGCCTGAAGTCAGGAATACTATTTCTATAATAACGGCAAGTGTTTATATATGTTTTCAAAATAATACAAAACCCATTGTCTTGGGTTTGCTTGCACCAGATTTCTTAACAGCCAACATACTAGGGCTGGGACGGGTAACTCGGGTACTCGGGTCGGGTGGGTCCTGAGTAGGACTCAGGTACCCACAGGACTACCCGGACCCGTGGTTAGTCACATGATATACTGTTTAATGACAAAGATTTTCGAAAACTCAATAACTTCACTACAAGTCACTAATGTTCCCATTTCTTTCTGACAATGCACCCATTCCTTCTGACTTTTATATGTTTGAATAAAGATAAAAGTTCATGCAGTAAACTTCAGTGTATGCATGACCAGATTTTGTTTTACACATGTATCTTAATACATTTTGCCAGGGCTACGGTCAAACTTTTCCAAATCGGACAGTTTGTAACTATCTCTAAATATCTACAATGGGTACCTGGGTAGGGTCGGGTAATAGGGTGGAGGGTACCCGGGTAGTAAATTTGGACTGGTCCCAGCCCTACAACATAGTGTCATAGGAATGTGTCATGCCTTATGAAATGCATTGTTCACTTTGTTATGAATACAGGACTCGATTTAGTTATATAAAACATGCACCAGTGCAACCTATTATTGTTAAATGAAACCTACTAGCTATGTCTGATGTACTAAGTGCATGCCCCCCCCCCCCCCCCCCCCCAAAAAAAAAAATAATCCATACTTGTTCACACACAAAATCAATCTCTTTGAACACACTCATTACCTCTCAAATGTTTTTCATATAATCACCCTGTTATGTGTAATTTGTAATACTTTCTTGGGCATGATGTCATCAAACTGTGGGTACTTCACAATCGTGCACATATTGCTATTATGTTTAACAGCAATGTGTCATTAATTTATGTGACACTCGCAGCAGACCAGCATGTTTCAACTTTCAAATTCATGGGACCAGGGTGTGACCTGATTTGTCTGGTGCAACAAGGTTTTCATGTCAACATGCACCTTGTGCAAGTTAAATCAAGTTCCTTAAATCAAGCCCTGGAATAATCTCTATGATCATTAGAGGAAAGATATCTAAAAATTGACTGGGTCCATATATTGACTGGATTTTGAAGGACATTTAATCAAACAGAATATTACCATGTTTACATATTCTTATTTTCTTCCTCAACTTTTGACAGATGTAGGACATTAACACATCCAAAGGTACTACCTACTGCCAGTGTTGTGATCATATTCCACAATGAGGCCTGGTCACCCTTAATACGCACTGTCCACAGTGTTGTGAACAGGTCGCCACCAGAGTACCTCCACGAAGTGATTCTCCTCGACGACTTCAGTGACAGGGGTGAGTGAGTGTGAAGTCCCCGTTACACTATCAGAAACTTTGATAAAAAAAACTTGGTCAAAGAAAACGTGACTAGCTTTCTTGATCAAAGTTTGGCTGTTTACACTCGTCAAAGTTGTGGTAGGCATTGGTGTTGGCAAAGGACTATATGGGATTGGCTGCTGAGATGGCACCAGCTTAGTGCCTACAATAGAGGACAGAGTTGGACAGAGATGATTCCAGTGCCTATATCAACGATCTAAGAATGAACAGGGAAACATTCATGTTTCTTTTCTGAAAAGGCGAGTGTGTACATACAAGGACACAAGAGAGGGTTTTAATTTTGAGATGTTTTTTATCAAAGTTTTTGATAGTGTAACAGGGACTTTAGTGCCAGTGGCAGGAAAATAATGAAAAGTTAATTATTTTTTCGAAACTTGGGATTTGCTAAAGTTTCTTGTTTTGTGAAATTCAGCAATATTTTACCTGTTTACAAGGATGCTGTGATGCTCTAGAATGAACACTGCAGTGTATATCTAATTGGCTGTAATGGTAGGTTTCTCAACACTTGAACATCTACAGCCTAGGCCTCATTCCACAGTGATCTTAACTCGAAGATGATTGGATGAGGAACTCCCTTATAACGTTGACTGTGTGAATCTTGTATCTCAGGGCTCTGTTCCACAAAGCATTCTTAGCGCTAAGATAATTGTAACTCCCACTGTTTAACATGACTTGTAATAGTCGAAGCACTAAGATAATCATAACTCCCTCACTTTAACATGACTTACGATCATCGAAGCTCTAAGATAATCATAACTCCCACACTTTAACATGACTTACGATCATCGAAGCTCTAAGATAATCATAACTCACACACTTTAACATGACTTACGATCATCGAAGCTCTAAGATAATCATAACTCACACACTTTAACATGACTTACGATCATCGAAGCTCTAAGATAATCATAACTCACACACTTTAACATGACTTACGATCATCGAAGCTCTAAGATAATCATAACTCACACACTTTAACATGACTTACGATCATCAAAGCTCTAAGATAATCATAACTCACACACTTTAACATGACTTACGATAGTGGAAGCTCCAAGATAATCATAACTCCCTCATTTTAACATGACTTACGATCATCGAAGCTCTAAGATAATCATAACTCACACACTTTAACATGACTTACGATCATCGAAGCTCTAAGATAATCATAACTCACACACTTTAACATGACTTACGATCATCGAAGCTCTAAGATAATCATAACTCACACACTTTAACATGACTTACGATCATCAAAGCTCTAAGATAATCATAACTCACACACTTTAACATGACTTACGATAGTGGAAGCTCCAAGATAATCATAACTCCCTCATTTTAACATGACTTACGATCATCGAAGCTCTAAGATAATCATAACTCACACACTTTAACATGACATACAATAGTCGAAGCGCTCAGATAATCATAACTCCCTCATTTTAACATGACTTACGATAGTGGAAGCGCTAAGATAATCATAACTCCCTCACTTTAACATGATTTATGATAGGGGAAGCGCTAAGATAATCATAACTCCAATGCTTTAAAATTGCTAAAGATAATTGTAGGGCTAAGATTGCTTTGTGGAACGAGGTCTTGGACATTTCGTATTTGCAAGACCCCTCCGCTGTTTTGTTGTCAGCCGGTCTGGGCCAGGAGCTAGTGGACTTTGTCTCCAAGACGTGGCCTGACGGTGTGGTTCGGATTGTCCGCACCAAGGAGCGAAGTGGACTGATTCGGGCCAGGATTGCAGGGGCTAAGGCTGCAACTGGTGACGTGCTCATTTTCCTTGATTCCCATTGCGAGGCCAGTCCTGGATGGTAAGTGCATTTGCAGTGGTCAAAATTTAGAAAGAAAGTAAACATGGTAAAAGGGTTCTTGTCACTACTATAACAAGGATTGGTTTGGTAAGGCTTGACTATTTATATGTCATTATGCTTGGTCACATGGCAAGGACCGCCTCCATGGTCTGGTGGTAGAGCGTCTGCCCGGAGAGCAGAAGGTCCGGGGTTCGATCCCCAGCCGCATCATACCAAAAGACGTTAAAGGATGGTAATTGTTGTTCCCCTGTCTGGCGCTCAGCATTAAGGGGCTAAAACAAGGACTGGTCGGCTCGGAGTCAGTATACTGTGTCTGAGTCGGGTATTTATGTTAAACTGCGGCATGGTATCTCAGTGAGCTAGCACTATAAATCGGCATCAGTCCGGACTAGTACAAGCAGCCACACAAGCACATACATGTACATGCACGTCGCTATAAAAGTGCAATAATCTTGGACGCGACGTTAAACCCCATTTCACCTCACCTCACATGGCAAGCTGCTCATGTTATCAGTCACTGGTTTGTCTGGTCCAGACTCACTCATTTACCCTTTTTTAAGTTCATTCCCTTTGGGGAATACAATTATATACAGTGGAACTCCATTACCTTGAACCCAGCAGGACCATATTGTATCTTTGGACATTTGACATAACGGGGCACGAACATCCAAACAGATCAAGTAACTGTATCATAGATACATAGCCATAAGATTAAATACACAAGGAATTACGAAGAACACATCTCCTATATGCAGTGACAGATTGAAACATAATTCGACTGCAATGATTAACAATTGTGACAAATATGTACAGTGTATATGTACCTTAATAGGCATAGACATACTGTTTAGCCTGTTCACTTGACAAAACAACAAAGTGCAACATTCACCTCAAGCGAGGTTATCATATCACAGCTTGGTTGTGTGAGTAGCATCACACAGTTTTGATTCCTTAAATCTGACTTTGATTAGCACTGTTTGATGTAACCAGGAAGTGCTGCAATGTATTTACTCATGTCTTACTCACAATGTTATATTTGTCAATAAAGGTCACCATTACAATAACAGCAATGTTAGATGTGTCGGGAAAGGTACTAGATATTCTTGCACTCCTGAAAACTGTTAATGTGGCAAATGCCAACTTAGAGATAAATGAGCCAATATTCAAAAGTAAAGTCCAAGTCCCGGGTTTGAGATCGCCCTATATATTTTCATCTTTAATTAAAGATTAGCCATCGGCTTTTTATTTATTTATATTGTGAGGCAGTTGGGAGCAGAGAAAAAGTTCGAGATATCAGTGCATTCGAGATAACAGGGTTCAAGATAACAGGGTTCGACTGTGTACATAATCTCAAGCTTTCAACCTCCCGGCTTTAATTAGGCACACTCTTTCACTTTAGCACTATATTATTCAAGATGCTTGTTAGCCCATTAAAATATTTACATTCAGCCTGATAATGCACCCACCCACTCACTCACTCACTCACTCACTCACTCACCCACCCACCCACCCACCCACTCACTCACTCACTCACTCACTCACTCACTCACTCACTATTTCTGATGCAGGCTGGAGCCGTTGTTGGCCCGCATCAAGGAGGACCGCACTGCCGTGTTGTGTCCAGAGATCGACAGCATTGATAAGGACACTCTTCAGTACGGGAGCACAGGAAGCTTCTCAGTGGGGGGGTTCTGGTGGAGTCTGCACTTCTCCTGGAGACCCATCCCCCAGAGGGAGCGGGAACGCAGGAAATCTAACGTCGACCCCATAAGGTAGGTATTTTTTGTTGTAATTATATTTTTATTTGTGAAATCCTGTTACCATGGTTACAGATAGGAGCTTCTGCCCAGTGTGCCATTGTACAAAACAACCTTATCACTACGACTGTCGTAAGTCTATTTTTAGGTATGGGAGTTACGATCACCTTATCGCTAGGATCGCTTTGTACAACTACACCCTGGAAAGTTAGAAATTCCTCCCAATGAAAATTGAGAGATGGTGTTAGCGTTGGGCGTGTCAACGTGCGTGATTCCTATGCATCCTTTCGAGTTGAGTTGATTGGTTCAACTGTGTCATATGGCCCTGTGACGCAGGGGTAGCATTATGCAGATGGCTGTTTCAATGAATGCTCGTTCCACCCGTGACGAACAGGTCTGGTTGTTGATGAAATATAGTGATAGCTAAATAGACAGATTTTTTATTGATGCACTGATTGTCTTTAAATGTAATATACAGCTATGTAAGACTGTTTAATAATCTCATACCAACTTTGACTGGAGTAGGTCCGATAGTTTTTCAGATATTGTAGTAAATGTCGGTACCTTAAATTACCTACCAGACTATACATGACACTAGGTTTTTCAGTAGACTAACCTCATTTGCAGACAGATACTCTCACCTGTACATGACCATGGTAATGATCCACTGAAATTCAGAACATGTTAGGCCTTGACATCCTGTACGTTGAATGCAAGGTAACCTGCACTGAGAAGGGAAGGGTATGCATTACGGTGTTGAATTACTGTCATGACTATAGGGCCAGGCTTTTTATTTTGTTTACAGATTTATGACCCCAAATCACAGGTCGGTAGGTCGAAAAAATACCAAAATTCATTTTCTAATTTCAATTATATATTATGTTTCCCCCAAAATGTGAATTAGGTAGGAAAAATATAAAAGTAGGTGTGGGATTATAATTACAGTATTAGATCATTATATTAGTTGGATTTTGTAACATTTTACTTATATATTACTGTGCATGTTATATCATGTTATATGGCATCGGCAGAATGAAAAAAGCTCTGCATTTTATGTTTATTTGTTTTTTGTTCACATTTAAATTTTTGGGAGTTCAGTTCGTAAACTATTTTTTAAGAAAAGGTCTGGCCTGGCTATAGTTATTTCCATCCAACTAGCACCCTAACAGGTGTTAGTGTAGAATGGTGATTTAAGATTTGAGATAGGTATGGTGTGACAGTACTGCGACTTCATCCACACATCTGAAGCCAAAGTCTACATGGTCGAGTAAAATTCTGTTTGGGTCTGTAAACTCAAGGGCGGTGGGGTAGCCTTGTGGTTAAAGCATTCGCTCGCCACGCCGAAGACCCGGGTTCGATTCCTCTCATGGGTACAATGTGTGAAGCCCATTTCTGGTGTCCCCAGCCGTGATATTGCTGGAATATTGCTAAAAGCAGCATAAAACCACACTCACTCACTCACCCACTGTAAACTTGACCCGTGAAGATACGGGTTAGAATAGGTCTTCAGCAACCCAGGCTTGCCGTAAAAAGCGACTATGCTTGTCGTAAGAGGCGACTAACGGGATCGGGTGGTCAGGCTTGCATACTTGGTTGATGCATGTCATCGATCCCAATTGTGCGGAACGATGCTCATGATATTAATCACTGGATTGTCTGGTCCAGACTCGATTATTTACAGACCACTGTCATATAGCTGGAATATTGCTGAGTAATAACAACAAACAAAAAAACAAAAACACTGTAAACTCAGTTTGTAAGAGACCATGATCTGCTGAAAATGTTGTTGAGAGCCAAGTAGTGTCAAAAGAGTTGTTTTCACAGATTGCGTCACAATGTTAAACACATAACACACCTGTTTCTTTCATTGTTTATTTAACTGATACATTATGTAGTCTGAAGCACTGATGTATGTAGCAGCTGTGCTATGATATGGTTTCATTTGCTATTAAATAGGAAAATCAATGAGAACATGTGACATATCAATAGGAACGTGTTGGGTGTGTATAGATCAATACCTTTAGCGTCCTCTGCTTTTATTGTGGTTATTGTGAACCGTATAAACTTGATTAGCCTTGTCAAATGTATCTTGTATTAGTGTCATGTTTATTGTCATTTGTCATGTTAACCTGTTATCAGGGATTTATCCCACCCTGCTCAGAAGCTGATATTCAGCCCAAGGTCATCTTCCCGAGACATGGAGTTAGCTGACTTTATAAGTCCAGTTTCCACCCTTGCCGAACTAGGCTGGAATTCCTTGGCTCGATTGTAGAGCCACCTGTGGCTACTACGAGTTATGTCCCTTCTAAGCCTCCCCTTGGACCAATCAGATCCCACCTCTTGTATCACTTGCATTTGCTACAAACCAAATGGCAGCGCTCAGTCAAAATGATCTAATCGATAATCAAGATCTATATTGTGATAAAACGGGTCTTATATAGCGAAGTGCACCAAATCACATAAGCACATTGATTAAAAATAGGAAAAGATCTGGAAAATATCTGTTGACAACGATTTGGCGGTGCACCTGCTTTGCAAATCCTGTAATCGACCGAAATCTGCACAACAGTTTACAAACTGGATTTTGATTTCGTTGCAAGATTTTGATAGACTCCTTAGTCCAGCCAAAATGTAACTCCATAATACCAGCCTAGTTCGGCATGGGTTGAAACTGGACTTTTATAGTCAGTTAACTCTCTTGCCTCTGGAAGATGGGCCAAGGTATGAAGCAAAAATTTCTAAATTAGAATGAAAAATTTGTTATTATGGTAATAATATAAATTGTATCAGTATCATTCAGGTAAATGTGGTTTTATTTGACTCTCATTAGGTTTTATACTACTTGCCTCCATAAAACCCAACGAGGGATGCATAAGACCACATGTACCCTGAGTGATACTGCTACAATGAATTAATCTTACCGACATGCTAACTTAGGCTGTCACATGACTTTCACTGACTCGGAAAAAGCATGCAGGGTAGAAGGGATTTGCCGATATTCTCCCACTCAGGAATCCATATGCAGCCTATCTTCTTCATGGTGGGATTTAAGGGATTTATTCTCCCGCTCAGAATTTTTTTCCCTCCCAGGTGGGATACATGTTGTTTTATCAAGATCAGTTGAACCAATCAGATCTCATCATTCTGACATGGAAGTTTGATAACTAATGTTATTTGCAGAGGTGACTTGCATTTCAATGACAACAGAACCAATAAACAAGAAGCTCAGATGTTTAATTTTAACATTTTTTACATTGAATGACATGTTGGATTACCCCCTGAATTTACCAAAATAAGAATTTTAGAAAATCCAAAATTTTGAACAAAATGACCTTTTTTCCCAATTTGTCTGTGAAGGGCACCAAGTTTGGAATCCTAGATAAATCCCTGGTTGTATGGGATTCTGAATATATGTACTACTTAACTATCTGTGTGTCAATGATTGTTACCCTCAAGTGGAAGATTTTCAGCATCTGTGGTTAGCATATTTCATGTGTGTGACCATGGTAACCTGTGAAATTACAAGTATTATTTAATCAAACAAATTTGCAAATCAGCTGACCTTCCTTGTTGATGTGAAACTGCTACAAATAGAACTTGACATTACAATCAGATGAGATTATTCTTACTCAGCAGGACCATAAAGGGTGTTTGGGTAGCCTAATGGTTGAAGCATTTGCTCACCACGCTGAAGACCTGGGTTCGTTTCCCCACATGGGTATAATGTGTGAAGCCCATTTCTGGTGTCCCCTGCCGTGATATTGCTGGAATATTGCTAAAAGCGGCGTAAAACCATACTCAATCTTTGTGTGTTGTTAACTGTTATATATCCTCTGAAACTTCAAGGTCACCATTAATGTTTTTACATTCCCAGTAGGCTTATATCATGTATATCATACCTTGTCCTTTATTGGGTGGCATTTTAATATGTTCTTTTTTATCAAGTTTCGTTCCATTCAGGAGATGGGTGTGAAAATACATTGATTAATCATTATCATGGCAATAGATTGTAAGTATGTTATGTAATACAATGATTGACTTCCTTATTGTCTCCCCTGTAGGTCTCCAACAATGGCAGGAGGATTGTTTGCTGCTGACAGAAAGTACTTTTTTGAAATTGGATCATATGACCCTGGAATGGAGGTTTGGGGAGGAGAAAATTTGGAAATATCATTTAGAGTGAGTATTTCCTTGTTTGGCACTAACCCGAATTTGTATGTAGTCCTAAGAACAAGCACCCTTGACTATCCAGTGCAGTTTATCTCCATTCTATTGATAAATAGTCTGGTTCCATGAACTAAAATAGATTCTTTTTGCACCCCATAATAATTGCTCACTGCTAAAAATAACCATCCAATCAAAATACTGTAATAAGCAAGAGAAATTCTGTGCAAAGTTACAGATTGGATGGATGGAGGTGGTGATGTCATTTATGAGACACAAGGGCACTAACCCGAATTTGTTTGTAGTCCTAAGAACAAGACCCTTGACTACCTATGGTATTATGTAAATTATAGAATGGAGATATTATACTCTGGATAAATGAGGATTAAGGACAAGCAGATAGAGTGAGTGAGTGAGTTGGGTTTAACGCCGCTTTAACATTATTCCAGTTATATCGCGGCGTGTCAGCTTAATGTGGGAGGAAAGCCCGAAGTGATGCAGGTCTCAGAAGTTTACCACTTCGGTGAAACCCACGAGCACGGGTATGGTGCTGACAAACCTAGAAACATAATTGGGGCGAACCGGGATTCGAACCCACAATCATAGGTTTCTTGCGTGCCCAAGGGATACAACTCTGCACAGCGAATCGCGGCGCCTTAGACGACTGGGCAACCCGTGCCCCCTCAAGCAGATAGAGAAATCTACTGGTCTTTTTGGATCTCTAGTGGTCCTGACCACAATGATTTAATAATGATAGTTCTTATGCTTATATAAGAAAAATATGAGAACCTTTGATATGCACACAAGTCCGCTAGCTCAAGGCTAATTAATTGTGGTGAGGGCAAGTAAAATTCCAATGATGGTCCTCATAGACTGGTAGCATTTGAGAGCTATAATTCTGAACCTGTTCTCAATGTTTCACTTTTGCTACAAATTGGAACTGACAGATAGTGTGAAGGTAGTTCACATTACTGCCTTCTTCTAGCAGGACTAGCTAGACTGTTTTCAATCTGGGATAAGTCTTGGCAGTCAGAGAGCTGCGAGCGGCTACATGTAGCAGTTGTATTCTTTTATTAAATATGTAATATTTTAATATAATTATCATTATGTTGAGAGGAGAATTGTTTGTTTGGGTGTAACCCAGGAAAACTATTTCCTCAGATATATTTGTATTATCTGAGCGTCCGAAGAAAGCCAGATTTCAAAGACATCCAACGGGAGCTTTCCGACTATTACAACTTAACTAAATATGCAGCAACTTTGAAATCGAATGTTAACATGTTTAATAAGTTTTGGTCAAGCTGTCATTTACTATTTTAGAAAATGTAGTGACAAGTCTAATATGTATGCGCAACTTATGTAAAATGCAACAAAAATAATAAATTATAAAAAAATATAAAAAAACAAAACATGTAGCAGTGTGTACATTCATTACCAGCACTAGCTAACAGGAAAAAAATGCACATGTAGTACTATTGACCTAGTTTGAGATGAATACACTGCTAAATATAACCACTCATATTCACATGTCGACCCTTAACCGCATTGTAACCAGGTGATCCAAACTCAACGATGCAAAATAGATATTTCTTGTTAAGCGCACTTTGCAAATTGTTGTCATTACTGTAAGTAATGTTTATTATTGCTGGAATGGCTTGTTTTCATTTTATAAGTATTAGAACACATGCAGCCCTCTTCTTTAATTGTGATATTTCATTTTATTTCAAGTGGCAAGGACTACAGTTTGTCCATGTTGTGTACAAGCAGCCTGAGTATGGCTGGAATATTGCTGAGCAGCAAACTCTATGAATGAATTATTACCCTACCACGTTGCCAGAGCTGTTAAAATTCTGAATACTACAAAAAAATGTGTATTTCTGAGTGATTCTGATTCATTGTATAATGCAGGGGTCCGGAAAATTTAAAATCCCAATCGGACATTTGCATTTAGGCCACGCCCCCTTCAAATAGAGTATTTTAGTACGACTTTTCACACACATTACAAGTTTACGTATTCATAATATGATGAATTATGAATTGTTTCAATTTAAATTGTTTAATTCACCGGACAATTAATAACAAATAATATCATTTTAGATTTACATAGAAAACATACGTTTGTTTCTGTTATAATAACGATCTATTAACGTAGTGAACGGTCTAATTAATATTCATGAGTTATATTCATGAGTCTGCTCAAGTGTACGCGTTGTAACATTTGGATCGAGACTATTATCCCATATTTGGTTATCACGTGACCTCACGGGAAAAGTTGTTTTTTAAACTAAAGATTTTTTTAAAAACAAGACAGATAATTTAATCACAAATACTAAAATATCGTTGATAGCAATAGTTATTTGAATACTTTTTTCATCTGTACTTAATTATTGACCATAAAAAAATTGGATATCGATCGTCCGAGAAAGCAAAATGGCGGTCAATCAAGATTCAATATACGACTAGCTATTAAAAAAAATAAAATCTGCAAATCCTCATTGTATGTCAACCAAGTGAAAGCCGTTAGCCACGACTTACAAAATGATCGTCCAGACTTTGAGGGTTTGGCAGATCCGCTCGACTGATCTGCATCGGTCGACTGGCTGTCGTCACGCTTTCGCTTCTTGTCTGAGGTTACGTATCGTAGCATTGTGAGGATAATGAGGTACATGGATGATGCAAGGTATTAATGTACAGTTGTAAACACCTTTCACTCAAATTAACAAGATGTTCTCAGTAATTAATCCTCGATTAATCAGTGTCAACTCAGTTTATTGCCTATTACAGTGATTGACCGATTGGACTATCATGTAGGTACGATGTATTTACAGCAATCAAAACAAACAAAGCTTGTCAGTGTAGTTAATCTTCATTGTGTTGCAACTGCAGACAGAAACTGCTCAGTCCTAACTATTGATCATGTCCGGTCAAAATTTAAGAATGTCCGGACAATACTTTTTAAAATGTCCGGTAAGCAATATTTTAAAACGGACATTTGAGATTCCCAATCGGACATGTCCGGCGCATATGACGGTTTCCGGACCCCTGGTATAATGCATGGCATTTCTCTCTTGGACTTTCCTTCCAAGGAGGGGTGGTCGGGTAGCCTAGTGGTTAAAGCGTTCGCTCATCACACCGAAGACCTGGGTTCAATTCCCTACAGGAGAACAATAAAACGTAAAACCAAACTCATTCACTCTCTCCCTCCTGCCAGGGACCTCCCAATCGGCCCAGAGTCAGATGCATCCATTTTCTTTTCCAGATCTGGATGTGTGGTGGCAAACTAGAGTTTATTCCGTGTTCACGAGTGGGGCATATATTCCGGTCCAGCCATCCCTACACATTCCCTGGTAACTACTGTCATCATCACTCATTAATTATCTAGCTGTCTCACTGGCCAGTTGCTGTCTTGCAAGAACACATACAAGTCGGCTGGCCGGCCTGTGCGGGTATCAGGACATTATGTTTGATGTGACGTCATTGCCTGTCACGACACTATTGACCCAGTTCGTATATTGACAACAGGCACAAAGTACATCTTTGTAGGCAGGACGTACAAGAACCACTTCCACAAAATGATCAGAGCGCTACGACTGTTAGAGTATGTTAAAGTATGGGAGCTATGATCGTCTTAGAGGGGGCACGGGTTGCCCAGTCGTCTAAGGCGCTGCAATTCGCTGTGCAGAGTTACGTCCCTTGGGCACGCCAGAAACCTATGATTGTGGGTTCGAATCCTGGTTCGCCTTGATTATGTTTCTAGGTTTGTCAGCACCATACCCGTGCTCGTGGGTTTCACCAAAGTGGTATAAGTCAGAGACCCGCATCACTTCGGGCTTTCCTCCCACATTAAGCTGACACGCCGTGATATAACTGGAATACTGTTAAAAACGGCGTTAAACTCAACTCAGTCCCTCACTATGATCGTCTTAGCCCTACGACCGCTTTGTGAAACAGGCTCTGGATCGTACAAACTGCATCTTAACCTTACAAGATTACATTACATTCAGCTCATAGAATCCCATACATACCGCTACTGACACAGGTAATCATAATGACCCATTGATATGTCATGTGGAAAATATTACCTAAATCTGTACAGGAATGACACGCTTACTTATAAAACAAAGACGAAAAGACATCTAGCTTTGATATAGATTCATTTATTTCAGTAAAAATCTTAAATGAACCAAGTATTGTCCTACTCATCATGAACGCTGTTGAAATTGTTGAAAGCGTTGGGTTTCGCTAAAGTAGTAAATACAGTAAACTATGGTTATAACGAACTCAAAGGGACAAGTAATTTTTGTTCGTTATAACAGTAGTTCGTTATAAACATATACAGCATATGTACAGCAAATGGTCGGAACAAAAAAAATAAGTTTGTTATTTGCGTGTTCGTTATCAACGTAGTTTACTGTAGTTAAAACCCACATCACCCCAGACGTGTCATGATATAAAGGAAATACAACTCCAAGTGGCATTGAACTCAACTCACTCACTCACTCCGGCTTTTGTGTTACAGGCAACAAGGACACTCACGGCCTCAACTCCATGAGACTTGCCGAGGTATGGATGGATGGATACAAGCGCCTCTACTACACACACAGGAGAGAACTGCTGGTTAGTTTCAGTCAGCTGTTTGCCAAAACAGTCCTGACCAAATGTTATTGACTGATGAGCACTCCCAGTTCAGCTGTTATTAGTGGTTGTCGAATACACTCTGCTTGTTATCTCCCTTGGACGTTACTATCCATCAGCCATTGTATTTGTATTGCCTTGTTTGGTAACCGTTCAAGTGTAAAGCCTCCCCTGGATTGTGTCTCGATTTTAGGATAGGTTTGTTGACTGGCATTATTTGTCATAAGCTGGAATCATGGATTATGATCTTTGATTTATCATCCATTCTGTACTTGTAGGGTCGGTCGGGTAGCCTAGTGGTTAAGATGTTCTCTCGTCACGCGGAGGACCTGGGTTCAATTCCAGACATGGGTATTATGAGTGAAGCCCATTTCTGGTGTCCCCCGCCGTGATATTGCTGGAATATTGCTAAAAGCGGTGTAAAACAACACTCACTCACTCACTCTGTACTCGTAAGTTTCACTGAAGTAGTATACATCTAAGACTTGCATCAATTCAGGATTTCCTCCCTGGTTTAGGCTGATGGAACTGCAATACTGTTCAAAGCAGCTGCAAACATAAACCATGCTCACTCACATATTTGTCAGGAAGTTCCTGGGTTACTCATGCATATACTCAATGAAAATAATGTTCAAAGCAGTGCAAACAATTCACTCCATAACTCATCCCATCAATCTATGAAATGTTTCTTTCTAGGGCAAGGACCATGGCGACATCTCGGAGAGAAAGGCTTTGAGGGAGAAGCTCCAGTGTAAAAGTTTCAAGTGGTACCTGGACAATGTTTACCCTGAAAAGTTCATTCCTGACGAGAATGTGAAGGCTTGGGGAATGGTAGGTTTACAGTTTCATGTGTGTAACCATGGTAACCTGTGAAATTACCAGGATCATTAAATCTTTTCAATGAATTTGCAAATCAGTTGACCACCCTTGATAATGGGAAACTGCTACAAATAGAACTTGACAGTCAGATGAGATTATTGTTACTCAGCAGGACCATCCATTGCCACAAAGGGCGGTCGGGTAGCCTAGTGGTTAAAGCTTCGGTCATCATGCCGAAGACCCTGGTTCGATTCCGCACATGGGTACAATGTGTAATGCCCATTTCTGGTGTCCCCCACCATGATATTGCTGGAATATTGCTAAAAGCTTTGTAAAACCATATTCACTCACTCACTCATGCAATTGCCATAATGGTTTCAGTTTTTCTCAATCATTTCATTCGATGAGTGAACTTGGAAGTCAGTCACTGTAAGAAGGCATACATTTAAACATTGCAACTATAACTGTAAGTAGTTGAATGTGTTAGTTCAGCTGTAGCCTTGTCATACATTTCCTTATCAGACTGTGCCATGGACTACTCATATTTCGGACAGCCTTAAAAATGGAAGGTTCACCAGGATACCTGTGTGTTCAGAAAGGCCAACGATTGTAACAAGGTTTTCAGATGATAACTGTCACTTTAAAAAATGTGAACTGATTTGAATCAAAATCATCTGTTGAACATGTCACAAGTTTGATATTCAGCTAAAGTTGTTATGACAACACATACATCCATCCTGTGACATTCCTAGCAGTGTGAACGGGTCAGTGGTCTAGGTTGCATTATAACTTGAGTCTGCCACGATCAGCAAGTCATGAGTTTGATTCCCAGATCCACCTAGGTTATTATCCCCTGTGCTTTTTGGGGCGTATTAAAATGGACACTGTCCGTCTGTCGGTGCAAGATGTTGTTTCCGGAGCAGATCTTGAAAAAAGTACAATATTTTATCACCAAACTTGGCTAATAGATAGGTCTAGTGGTGAACTGGTGCCTTTTGATAGTTTGGGATTTAAAAAAATAATATTTTTGGAGTTTCAATTAAAAAATATATCTATATGTGTATAACAACAAGTATTTACCATTCAAAAGTGGGGGATATCAATGGTTTTGTCCTCTTGTTATCCTTGGTATGTGAAAAATACTTGCCTTCCTTAGATGTGCCAAAATCCTATGATGGTGGGATTGAATCCCAGAATTGCCTAGATTACAATCTAGGTTTGTCAGTACCGACTAATGCCCATGGGTTTTGACAAAGTGGTAAACTTCTAAAACCTGCCTTGGGCTTCTCTCCCACATCAAGCTGACGTGTTGTGATATATACTGGTATACGGAAATAGTGCTCACTTTTACACACCCTGAAAACATTTCGGTTTTGCATGTAGAAATACAGTCTTGCATGTATAAATAGTCTCTGAAGCACCTACCCGTGATAATTCCGGGTAGAACAGGTCTTCAGCAACCCATGCTTGCCGTGAAAGGGGACTATGCTTGTAACAAGATGCGATTAATGGGATCAGGTGGTCAGGCTCACTGACTTGGTTGATAAATGTCATCAATCCCAATTGCTTGGATTAATGCTCATTATGTCAATGACTTGATTGTCTGGTCCAGACTCGATTATTTACAGACCGCCGTCATATATCTGAAATATTGCTGAGTGCAGCGTTAAACAAACAAACAATCAAATCTAAAAGCACCTGGTTTTGAATTTCTTACTGCATTATGAGATAATGCATGGAGTGTTTCAAAGACATAGATATATATGCACCACTTCCTGTTTCAGGTGAGGAATCCGTCCAGCAATCTCTGCCTCGACACATTACAGAAAGACGAGAAGTCCTCCTTCGACATGGGACTATTCTCTTGTCAGAATGGTGTCAGTGCAAATCAAGTGAGTTCTTCTCAAAAAACATTATTAAATAGACCATTTTCCATTCTAGTCATATGTTTATCTGATTAGTCTGGTGAAAATGTGCTTGTCATTCAGTGATACATTAACGTGAGTCTGTTATGTGGATTACCTGTGGATCCTGAAGGACACTCCATCCTTGATCATCCAGTGTATTAGGTTAAAAAAAATAATAGTCTTTGTTCTCAAGCACTGCCCGCATCATCATTAAGCTTGCCACACGTTTCATTTTTATTTCCATTTTCAAAAAACATAAAAGAATCCTAATACTTAAAAACAATGCGGTTACTTCCCTTTACATGGGCACTGCTTTACTGCGCATCTCGTGTTATGGCCATGGTGGCAATAGGAGTTTCTATGCTTGTTTATGTAGGGAGGCTCTTTCCCAGGTTGATGGTACACAACTGTTTATTTGGTTACTTACTATAGCTACTTACTATAGCTTGAACAAGCCCCAAAACAAAAAAACACCGCCCGCCCGCACTTTATTTTCAAAAGTCCAGTCCAAAAGATGGTACACAAATGTTTATTTGGTTACTTGCTATAGCTTGAACAAGCCAAAAAACAAAAAAACACCACCCACCCGCACTTTATTTTTAAAAGTCCAGTCCAAAAGGTGGTACACAAATGTTTATTTGGTTACTTACTATAGCTTGAACAAGCCAAAAAACAAAAAAACACTGCCCGCATGCACTTTATTTTCAAAAGTCCAGAGAACCAGTTTTTTATATATATTTTTTTAGCCTTATATCTCTTTTATATCATGTAATTATAAATGAACGATGAGTGGGAGTTGTTCATCGTACAATAAAACACTGCAGGGAGAAGGAACCTTGAGGAGCAGTCCTGAGTGGTTTATTCTCCCTGCTGTGTTTTATTGAACGATAAACGACGACCACGAGTCTTTTATTTCTTATATGAGATATCAACATTATTTACAGCCTCTTTAAGGTTGATGATAAAATGTACAAGCTTTAAAATTATTTACCCGTATCTTAATAATGATGACTCCCTCAATAGAATCCAACCTCGGCAATGTAGGACAAGTCCATTTTATGTACAGGTGGATATTTCCTGCATATTCTCATAATCCTCACGTCGATTACCTGTACCTTTTCTTCCAATGCCTATTGTCATATCTCTCCTGCTTTTGGAAAGTGATCGTTCAGCCATCACGTATTTTCTGCATTGCTCAGCTCCAGAAATGACGTCATGATAGATGAAAATTTCATTGTTCTTCATTGTTCTTTGCGATTTATCACTTAGCTATCTTACATATCATGTTAAAACTACTGAAAAGAACTCACAATCTTTTCAGATGACTATAGCTAATCTGTAATGGCTGGTCAGCGATAGAAGAACTGTTTTAGTCTGCTAGTCCTAACAAATAGCAAACCCCTTAATAATGGCAAATTTCTACTCGTCCTTTTGACACCTTAACACTGTTGGGTAGTTTGGCACCTTGCTGGTGGGCCTTCCAATTGACATGGGGCAGTCGGGTAGCCTAGTGGTTAAAGTGTTCGCTCGTCACGCCGAAGACCCGGGTTCGATTCCCGACATGGGTACAATATGTGAAGCCCATTTCTGGTGACCCCTGCTGTGATATTGCTGGAATAATGCTAAAAGCGGCGTAAAACCATACTCACTCACTCACTCCAATTGACATGACAGATTAACTATAGTCATACGAAATAATTTCCTGACTCAGTCACTCACAGATAATAACTGGCTGCTCAATTCCAGAAGTATTCTTCAAATTCTGCATGAAAATCCGCAAGCTAAAGCATTTGTCACTAAAAAGAGTGAAATTATGCTATGTCTTATAGACAGTATTCAGAAATTATGAGCCACCTTTTGACTTAAAACGGGGCGGTCGGGTAGCCTAGTGGTTAAAGGGTTCGCTCGTCACGCCGAAGACCCGGGTTCGATTCCCGACATGGGTACAATGTGTGAAGCCCATTTCTGGTGTCCCCCGCCGTGATATTGCTGGAATATTGCTAAAAGCAGCGTAAAACCACACTCACTCACTCACTCACTCACTTTGACTTAAAACAAACCTCTATTTCCCCTTCCAATGCCTGCTTCAGATCCTGTCAATCAGCATGAAAGACGAGCTTCGCCGGGAGGAGGGCTGCTTGTTGTCCAGCGGCGTCGCGGGGCAGGCAGTCCGACTCACGGGATGTACCGGGAACCCTGAGACCCTGAAGTGGAAACACAATAAGGTAAATACGCACCTAACTGCCTGGAGCGCATGGGCTTCACTATATTAAATCGGGGCGATCGGGTAGCCTAGTGGTTAAAGCGTTCGCTCGTCACGCCGAAGACCCGGGTTCTATTCCCTACATGGGTACAATGTGTGAAGCCCATTTCTAGTGTCCCCCGCCATGATATTGCTGGAATATTGCTAAAAGCGGCGTAAAACCATAACTCACTCACTCACTCACTATATTAAATCATCTGGATTTTATAGTGTTTATTTCAGAAAACTAAATACTGAATACAGAACAGTTTACATGGTTTCATAAAACACAAGGCTCGTTGACTTGGTATCCCGAATGAATGATGTAAATCACTGGATTGTTGGGTCCAGATATGATATATTTATAGACAGCTGTCTAAAGGCTGAGTGCGGCATTAAACAACAAACAAACAATATTTACAGGTCACCTTGATATAAATGAAATATGACTGACTGTGACATGAAGCAATAATCACTCACTCATTCACTCACTCTGTTTTCCAGAAGGACGGGACAATCATCCACGTCAAGTCAGGCATGTGTCTAGACAAGGCCAAACTAAAAAATGACGACGCTGTCATTGTCAACGCTTGCAACGGAGACGATTCACAGAAATGGACATTTGAACATTACCTTGAAAAGTAACAACATGAAGATTACCATCCTCGCCATTTCTCATTAACTTATTGGAAGTTGTACTGAATGAAGTAAAGAGTGCTCCAGGCCTCCCCCCCCATGACAACCAGACCACTGGATGAACTGTTGTGATACTGCTGACAGTGGACTTCTTGCTGCACAATATGTTTTGTTGTGTGTCATCAAGTCTTCTGCCCATTTCTGGTGTCCCCCGCCTTGATATTGCTGGAATATTGCTAAAAGCGGCGTAAAACCATTCTCACTCACTCACTCACTCATAAAGTCTTTAAACACATCACCACTGTGCAGCTCAGAATTGGAACGTTTGTGACACTGTTTTATACAAATTACCAGCAATCATTTAATATCAACAGCAATACATTTACAGACCAGAAGAAATGTTCACCTTGCTATGTGAATCATGCAGACCTTTATGCCTGCTATGTGAGTCATGCAGACCTTTATGCCTGCTATGTGAATCATGCAGACCTTTATGCCTGCTATGTGAATCATGCAGACTTTTGAGCTGCTATGTGAATCATGCAGACCTTTAAGCTGCTGTGTAAATCATGCAGAACTTTATGCCTGCTATGTGAATCATGTAGACCTTTATGCCTGCTATGTGAATCATGCAGACCTTTATGCCTGCTGTGTGAATCATGCAGACCTTTAAGCTGCTGTGTGAATCATGCAGACCTTTAAGCTGCTGTGTGAATCATGCAGACCTTTAAGCTGCTGTGTGAATCATGCAGAACTTTATGCCTGCTATGTGAATCATGCAGACCTTTATGCCTGCTATGTGAATCATGCAGACCTTGACGCTTGCTATGTGAATCATGCAGACCTTTATGCCTGCTTTGTGAATCATGCAGACCTTTAAGCTGCTATGTGAATCGTGCAAACCTTTAAGCTGCTATGTGAATCATGCAGACCTTTAAGCTGCTGTGTGAATCATTCAGACCTTTAAGCTGTTGTGTGAATCATTCAGACCTTTAAACTGCTGTGTGAATCATTCAGACCTTTAAGCTGCTGTGTGAATCATTCAGACCTTTATGCCTGCTATGTGAATCATGCAGACCTTTAAGCTTGCTATGTGAATCATGCAGACCTTTAAGCTGCTGTGTGAATCATGCAGACCTTTATGCCTGCTGTGTGAATCATGCAGACCTTTATGCCTGCTGTGTGAATCATGCAGACCTTTATGCCTGCTATGTGAATCATGCAGACCTTTAAGCTGCTGTGTGAATCATGCAGACCTTTAAGCTGCTGTGTGAATCATTCAGACCTTTGAGCTGCTGTGTGAATCATGCAGACCTTTATGCCTGCTGTGTGAATCATGCAGACCTTTATGCCTGCTATGTGAATCATGCAGACCTTTATGCCTGCTATGTGAATCATGCAGACCTTTAAGCTGCTGTGTGAATCATGCAGACCTTTATGCCTGCTATGTGAATCATGCAGACCTTTATGCCTGCTATGTGAATCATGCAGACCTTTATGCCTGCTGTGTGAATCATGCAGACCTTTAAGCTGCTGTGTGAATCATGCAGACCTTTAAGCTGCTGTGTGAATCATGCAGACCTTTATGCCTGCTATGTGAATCATGCAGACCTTTAAGCTGCTGTGTGAATCATGCAGACCTTTATGCCTGCTATGTGAATCATGCAGACCTTTATGCCTGCTATGTGAATCATGCAGACCTTTATGCCTGCTGTGTGAATCATGCAGACCTTTAAGCTGCTGTGTGAATCATGCAGACCTTTAAGCTGCTGTGTGAATCATGCAGAACTTTATGCCTGCTATGTGAATCATGCAGAACTTTATGCCTGCTATGTGAATCATGCAGACCTTTATGCCTGCTATGTGAATCATGCAGACCTTGACGCTTGCTATGTGAATCATGCAGACCTTTATGCCTGCTTTGTGAATCATGCAGACCTTTAAGCTGCTATGTGAATCGTGCAAACCTTTAAGCTGCTATGTGAATCATGCAGACCTTTAAGCTGCTGTGTGAATCATTCAGACCTTTAAGCTGTTGTGTGAATCATTCAGACCTTTAAACTGCTGTGTGAATCATTCAGACCTTTAAGCTGCTGTGTGAATCATTCAGACCTTTATGCCTGCTATGTGAATCATGCAGACCTTTAAGCTTGCTATGTGAATCATGCAGACCTTTAAGCTGCTGTGTGAATCATGCAGACCTTTATGCCTGCTGTGTGAATCATGCAGACCTTTATGCCTGCTGTGTGAATCATGCAGACCTTTATGCCTGCTATGTGAATCATGCAGACCTTTAAGCTGCTGTGTGAATCATGCAGACCTTTAAGCTGCTGTGTGAATCATTCAGACCTTTGAGCTGCTGTGTGAATCATGCAGACCTTTATGCCTGCTGTGTGAATCATGCAGACCTTTATGCCTGCTATGTGAATCATGCAGACCTTTATGCCTGCTATGTGAATCATGCAGACCTTTAAGCTGCTGTGTGAATCATGCAGACCTTTATGCCTGCTATGTGAATCATGCAGACCTTTATGCCTGCTATGTGAATCATGCAGACCTTTATGCCTGCTGTGTGAATCATGCAGACCTTTAAGCTGCTGTGTGAATCATGCAGACCTTTAAGCTGCTGTGTGAATCATGCAGACCTTTATGCCTGCTATGTGAATCATGCAGACCTTTAAGCTGCTGTGTGAATCATGCAGACCTTTATGCCTGCTATGTGAATCATGCAGACCTTTATGCCTGCTATGTGAATCATGCAGACCTTTATGCCTGCTGTGTGAATCATGCAGACCTTTAAGCTGCTGTGTGAATCATGCAGACCTTTAAGCTGCTGTGTGAATCATGCAGAACTTTATGCCTGCTATGTGAATCATGCAGAACTTTATGCCTGCTATGTGAATCATGCAGACCTTGACGCTTGCTATGTGAATCATGCAGACCTTTATGCCTGCTATGTGAATCATGCAGACCTTTAAGCTGCTATGTGAATCATGCAGACCTTTAAGCTGCTGTGTGAATCATTCAGACCTTTAAGCTGCTGTGTGAATCATTCAGACCTTTAAGCTGCTGTGTGAATCATTCAGACCTTTATGCCTGCTATGTGAATCATGCAGACCTTTAAGCTTGCTATGTGGATCATGCAGACCTTTATGCCTGCTATGTGAATCATGCAGACCTTTAAGCTTGCTATGTGAATCATGCAGACCTTTAAGCTGCTGTGTGAATCATGCAGACCTTTAAGCTGCTGTGTGAATCATGCAGAACTTTAAGCTGCTGTGTGAATCATGCAGAGCTGCTGTGTGAATCATGCAGACCTTGACGCTTGCTATGTGAATCATGCAGACCTTTAAGCTGCTGTGTGAATCATGCAGACCTTTAAGCTTGCTATGTGAATCATGCAGACCTTTAAGCTGTTGTGTGAATCATGCAGACCTTTAAGCTTGCTATGTGAATCATGCAGACCTTTCAGCTGCTGTGTGAATCATGCAGACCTTTAAGCTTGCTATGTGAATCATGCAGACCTTTAAGCTGTTGTGTGAATCATGCAGACCTTTAAGCTTGCTATGTGAATCATGCAGACCTTTCAGCTGCTGTGTGAATCATGCAGACCTTTAAGCTTGCTATGTGAATCATGCAGACCTTTAAGCTGCTGTGTGAATCATGCAGAACTTTAAGCTGCTGTGTGAATCATGCAGACCTTTAAGCTGCTGTGTGAATCATGCAGACCTTTAAGCTGCTGTGTGAATCATGCAGAACTTTATGCCTGCTATGTGAATCATGCAGACCTTTATGCCTGCTATGTGAATCATGCAGACCTTGACGCTTGCTATGTGAATCATGCAGACCTTTATGCCTGCTATGTGAATCATGCAGACCTTTAAGCTGCTATGTGAATCATGCAGACCTTTAAGCTGCTGTGTGAATCATTCAGACCTTTAAGCTGCTGTGTGAATCATTCAGACCTTTAAGCTGCTGTGTGAATCATTCAGACCTTTATGCCTGCTATGTGAATCATGCAGACCTTTAAGCTTGCTATGTGGATCATGCAGACCTTTATGCCTGCTATGTGAATCATGCAGACCTTTAAGCTGCTGTGTGAATCATGCAGACCTTTAAGCTGCTGTGTGAATCATGCAGAACTTTAAGCTGCTGTGTGAATCATGCAGAGCTGCTGTGTGAATCATGCAGACCTTGACGCTTGCTATGTGAATCATGCAGACCTTTAAGCTGCTGTGTGAATCATGCAGACCTTTAAGCTTGCTATGTGAATCATGCAGACCTTTAAGCTGTTGTGTGAATCATGCAGACCTTTAAGCTTGCTATGTGAATCATGCAGACCTTTCAGCTGCTGTGTGAATCATGCAGACCTTTAAGCTTGCTATGTGAATCATGCAGACCTTTAAGCTGCTGTGTGAATCATGCAGAACTTTAAGCTGCTGTTTGAATCATGCAGACCTTGAAGCTTGCTCTGTGAATCATGCAGACCTTGAAGCTTGCTCTGTGAATCATGCAGGTCTTGAAGCTTGCTATGTGAATCATGCAGACCTTTGAGCCTGCTATGTGAATCATGAATTGCAGGTCTTTTAGCTGCTATGTGAATCATGAATTGAAGACCTTTACTGCCAGGTGAATCATGAATTGAAGAGCTTTACTGCAATGTGAATCATGAATTGAAGACCTTTACTGCTATGTGAATCGTGAATTGGAGGTCTTTCAGTCCACTATGTGAATCATGTATGGGGATCTGTTTGCATGTGTAACATGCTTCAAGTACACGCATGAGTTCATGGCATATGGTAACAGATTCACAAGGGTGAGTTTGCATACAATTCTTATCATACAAGGTCGTCGAAAGCTTTGATCTTATTTCATTGTGCAAGCTAATTTCAGTTTATATTACGATTTCTTGCATGTGCTACAATATTCATTTGGGGAATATGTACATTCATGTGGGGAATATACATACAATATTCATGTGGGGAATATGTACAGTGTTCATTTTGGATTGTGTACAGCATTCATACAGGGAATATGTACAGCATTCATGTAGGGAATATGTCCAATATTCTTTTAGGAACTATGTACAACATTCATGTGGGGAATATGAACAATATTAATACTGCATTATATACACAGTTCATATGGGTAATATGTACAACATTATATTGGATTATGTACAACATTCATGTGGGGAATTTATTCATATGGGTATGTATATGTATGCTATTCATACGTGGAAAAATGTACAGCATTCATACAGGTAATATGTACTATATTCATATGGGGAATATGTATGACATTTATGTTGGAATATGTACATTATTCATATGGGAATATGTAAGCTATTCAAACAGGGCATAGTGTACAGTATTCATATGGGAATAGAACTGTGTACCAGGCTTGCCAGTAATCAGG